ACCATTCAGGTACTCAAGTCTTGTGTGGATATTTTGATTAAACCAATAACATATCTGATTAATAAATCTATAACTGATGGTAAAGTCCCAACAGTACGACAATACACCTGACGGTGGCCTGTACTGCTACCCGGCCCCCCCCCCCCACTCAGTGTCATTTAGGGTACGCATATGCGTGTTCCAAGCGACCCCCCTTTTCAGCAAAAGTCCGGTGTGTAAAGTCAATACGGGTCGACCTTTTTCTTTTGTTATACGAGCCTTTTTCAGCACCCCCCCCCCCTTTTCAGCAAAAGTCCGGTGTGTAAAGTCAATACGGGCCGACCTTTTTCTTTTGTTACGAAAAGGACATTTTGGTAACACGCATAGGGGCCGTCCGTTCTCGGAGTGGGGGGGGGGGGGGGGGGGGGTACTGCTACTGAAGAAGAAGAGATGGAAAATGGTTCAGGTAATTCCGCTTCACATAGGAACGAGCGCGTAGCTAGGATTTTATTTTAGGGGGAGGGGGCGTTAGTGAGCACGCGAAGTGCGCTCCCTATAGGGGGTCGGTGCAGGGAGAAGCTTTGAAAGAAGACGATTCGTTGTACCTTTCTCGACTCTTAATCTTTGTCTGAATTCAGTTTCCTCCCCACCGCGCGAAGCGCGGAAACTTTGAAGTTTCATTAAATTATTAGAGAAAGAAGACGACTCGTTGTATCGTTCTCGACTCTTAATCCTTGTCTTAATTTAGTCCCCCTTCCTGCGCATAGCGCGGAAGCTTTGACGTATTATCAGAAAAGAAGACGATTCGTTGTACCTTTCTCGACTCTTAATCCTTAACTGAATTCAGTCCCCCTCCCCTCCCGTGCGAAGCGCGGAAACTTTGAAGTTTCATTAAGTTATTAGAGAAAGAAGATTTTTTTTTTTTGGGGGGGGGGGGCGACCGCACCCACCGCCCCCTGGCTACGCGCCTGCATAGGAAAGGTGATAAATCAAATCCAGACAATTATTATAGGCCTATATCCTTGTTCCCTTACATTTCTCAAGTACTAGATCGTATAGTCCAAATTCAATTAGTTAGCCATCTTCATGCAAACAATCTACTGGATTCTGTTCAGTCTGGTTTTAGTGTTCACCATTCAACTGTCACTGCTTTAGTTAAAGTTAAAGATGATTGGTTAATGGCAATGGACGGAGGCAGGTACCCGGGAGACGGAGTAGTCTTCGTAGACCTATATACAAAAGGCGTTTGATACGGTTGATTATCAGGTGCTCTTAAATGAACTGTATTCTACTTGACTGTTTAGATGAAATATCGTTACAATGGTTAGCGCTATCTGTCAGAGAGCAAAATAATTACTATGATTAATAATGTTATGTCAAATGATAGAGTTTTTAGCTCATCATGCTTATGGTGTGCCCCAGGGTTCGATATTGGGTCCACTTTTATTTACGATATTTATAAATGATCTGCCTAACATGTTCAATCTCTGTCACGTATCTATACTCAGATAACACCGTAATTTATTTTTCACATAAATGTCTCACTGTTGCTGAATCTGTCTTGAATGATGAAATGCAATATCTCGATAAATGGATGTCTCGCAATAAGTTATTACTTATTATACCACAACTGTTACCGTGCACTGTAAAAAAATAATAGTCGAAATAACTCAATAAAATTGAGGAAAAGAATTGCCTTATTTTTATTAAGTAAATATTACCTACGGCATCTTAAGTAGAATTTACTTATTTTGCTGAATAAATTTTTACTAAGTTAAATCGAGTTACATTAACGTAAATAATTTAAGTATTGTAATCATTTTAGATAATTAAAAAAAAAGCTATGATAGGATTACATATTGCACGATTTGGTACCCATCTAATCTAACAAGTAACATCCACTAATCATTCACTACTTCTATTTAAGATTAATCACTAACACTCCTTCTATTTAAGATTTAACCGTATATATATATCTACCACCATCACAAACAATTACATACGCTTCAATTCGACACATACTGAAAGGCTCCAAATTTTATATATACTTGATCGTAGCATCTTAAAAGGAAAATTGGTTGACAATTTCCTGAAATATCAAGTTTTGATTTGTTTTGAACTGGGTAACAATTAAAAATTGTCTTGTCTTTGCTAAGCCATGTTAAATGAATTAGTAAATGTTTTAAAGTCCTTTCATTTTCATTCAACCACAAAAAAGAATTGTTTTATTTAAAAAAGAGTTTAATTTGGTCTTAATGAATATTCATAAATTATGTAAATATTTCTATTACGCACTGCATCGGTCCTTACTTAAAAAGATAAGAATAATCAACATAAATTGTTTGAGTAATACGTATAATTTCTGATTTTGAGTTAAAATTACTAAATTAATACAAGCTGAAATTACTTAAAGTTCTTATGTATTTGATTTTACTTAAATATTCCACGTATGTTCTACTAAATTGAAAGTTTGAGTTAGCAAGACTTAAATTTAGTGCGTAAGTGGCAAAACTAAGGTTTTCAAGTAAATTCTACATGGAAAAAATACGTAAATATTACCAATGAACAAATTCTTTTTTACAGTGTAGACAATGAATTGAAATGGGATGCTCATATAAATATAATGTGTCAGAAAATAAGTAAAATTATTGGCTTCCTTGGTAGATTGAGAGTTTGAGACACTTTATGGAGCCATGGTTTGGCAGTCCGCAACTAAATCCTCCCTTTCTCTTTTTACAAAAGCTTCAAAACAGGGCGGGTCGTGTGATAATGAAAGTAAACCCTTATTCTCATACATCCGATCAACATGTTCACGACACTCTAAATTGGGACCTTCTAGACCGCCGTTACAAAAAAACATTTATGTACCATGATTTTTAAGATATTAAACAATTACACCCGTCTTATGTGTCAAATAATATCAAATATCGCACGTATAACTATTCATTTCGTTCGTACCAAAATCTAAATCTCCCTAAACCGAATTCAAATAATTGCAAAAGAACATTCTTCTAAAGGGGTGACACAATGTAACCAACTACCAGAATACATCCGAAATATAACTACATTAAGATCCTTCCATACCAATTTTTTTTAAACACATTTCCTTAAACTCAAATTATTTTTTGCATATCCTTGTGTGTGTGTGTGCGTGTGTGCGCGCGTGTGCGCGTGGGTGTGTGTGCGTGTGTGCCTACATAATTATGTACGAGAGAGAGAGAGAGAGAGAGAGGGGAGAGAGGAGGGGTGAAGTGAAAATGTATGCTTTATAACTTCTTGATTGTGAAACTCCAGCTTTATATTTTGTAGCTACATAATTATATTGACTAAATTGTCCAAAGTTTATCCACGCCCCACCTCCCTCCTCCCCGAAAAAACCTCACTGCGATCGCTCCCCTTCGACCCCCCTCCCCCTTCGCCCCCATTTCCTATCATGGACGAAATGTGATTATTTGTTTTCCTCAACATTTTTATGTCTTGAATTTCTCCGCACCCCAGCCAGCACAAGGAAAAGAGTTTTCCCGTCTCGCTGGCGTGGCCCAGATTTTTAAAAATATTTTTGTTTTAACCAGAAGGGTGGGGGCAGAATCCACCCGCCCCCCCCCCTCTATCTTTTTTTTTCGTCCACGATAGGAAATGGGGGCGAAGGGGGAGGGGGGTCGAAGGGGAGCGGTCGCAGTGAGATTTTTTCGGGGAGGAGAGAGGTGGGGCGTGGATAAACTTTGGACAATTAAGACACAGGTCAATATAATTATGTAGCTACAAAATATAAAGCTGGAGTTCACAATCAAGAAGTTATAAAGCATACATTTTCACTTCACCCCCTCCTCTCTCCCCCTCTCTCTCTCTCTCTCTCGTACATAAATATGTAGACACACACGCACACACACCCACGCGCACACGCGCACACCTACACACGTACACACAACGCACTCAATCACTCTTTAATCTCTACCATCATATTTCTCTTCTTGTTGTATTTTTGCATCACCATGAACCCCTATCTTGTTTGCTTGCTTGTATTTAATTTAAGGGGATAACCGAGATAGGTATTTATACCCTTGTTATCCCTCCACTTCGTTGGTTGCACATGTATCGTTTTGTACACTTTTATTTCAGGTTGAGTGGAAATAAATTCAATTCAAAATTCAATTCAGTCCAATAATATTGTCAGGGGTCACACTAACATTAAGGCATTAAGCTTCGCTTATCTTGGAGCCTTGGCATTATCTTTCAATTATATTGAGTTTTACCATGTAATCAGAACTGAATAAATAAATGAAATTAAATATTAAAATTCAAATAAATTCCATGACCTACACATTAAAGTTGTCTTATTTTAATGAAGCTTATCATGAACAATATGAAGGTAGGCTACGACCAACATAGATTATTTTATTAAGAACAAATCAATAGACTAAGGACATATTATAGAAGTGTAATAATGGATTGCTTTTAAGAAATTCTAGCGCAGAAAAAAGTTTGAAACCCCATCCGGGTCTTGCCGTATGTGAAGCCGGATATATTCTCAAAGTTAAGCTTCGGCATTGATCATTTTGTCAGGCCAAGTGGGAGGAAAGATCGTATGCAGGTTGTTTGTAGATGGATGACTGGCGCTGCGGTAATGGGAGCACTCAAACAAAAATAAAAACCAATATTTTGTCGAGGTCTTAAGTGTATCCATCATTATTTTGATAATCTATGATCTAAATGAATCTTCTTTTACATTGACCTATATACTACACCTACCTTAAACTCGGTCATTAAACAAAAAACATAGAACAAAACAAAACAAAGATCGCGCCCTTATATATCTCTAATTACATTTCTCATTGAATAAAAAGTCTCTCAAATCAAAATAAAGTTATCAGTTATCAAAACATCTGGCCAACCTCATCGGTCCTATCAATCATTACACGCGAACGAGAATGATCAAAGACGCAAAGATGAGGAAAGTGGCGAGGAATAATTCCATAAAAGGGAAGCCATAATCGGTTCGAGTCATCAATTCAGGAGCTCATCACACCCGCAACAAGCTGCCTTCAGAACCTTCTCACCAGATTGGTAAGCATCTATTTTCTACTTTGCAGACTTCTAATTACAGAACTTTTCTTCCAAACCGATTTTTCTATAATATGTATTTTGGCCCATTTCTAAATCTTGTTTCGTTCAAATGGCATATGACTTTTTAATTTTTTTTTTTATTGTTCATCAATATGATGCATAATAATATTCTACAATCTGCCTTATAGGTTTATTTTTTACTTTTAATCTATATCTTTGATGTTTAATGTTTAGGCTTGATTCGTTATGTTTTCCATTGTATATTATAATGATGATATTATTAGTCTTCGGACTACAATCGTGTTTCGGTATATGAAGATATCAATCATGTAGAGGTGATGTGGTCCTGTGGATGAGTCAATCAAATCCGGATTACGGTTACCTAATGCATCGTTGTTATGTTGTTTTAAAAAAAGACAAGTCTATTGAAATAGTTTTTCAGTTTGATTTTGCGAAGGTATTTGCAATCTTATATAATGCACCTAATGCATCGTTGTTATGTTCGCACATTTAAAAAAAGACAAGTCTATTGAAATAGTTTTTCAGTTTGATTTTGCGAAGGTATTTGCAATCTTATATAATGCACCTAATGCATCGTTGTTATGTTCGCACATTTAAAAAAAGACAAGTCTATTGAAATAGTTTTTCAGTTTGATTTTGCGAAGGTATTTGCAATCTTATATACTGTTAGCATCACCCATTCAATTTATCTCTATGGTCAGCAGCATGAGTATAGGATTTTTTTGTATCGCAACCTGGGCAAATGATAAATTTGTGCCGCCCCTATCCAAAAATTATGAGCTCAAAATACTCACAATTGGAAGATCATTTCTCGTTCATATCCTTCAGAAATTATAGCGATGATTGTATTGAATTTTTTTTAAACGTATTTAATCCAGGAATCGGTATTAAACCCAAAGCTTGTAAAGTCTAGGAGTTATCTAAGCGAGGGAGGAAAAGTGACCTTGTGGTGAAATTGATTGATTGATTTTTCTCGTTAAATATTAGGCCTAAGTAAATTTGCATTAGATGAAAAAGACAAATTAGAAAGGAAATACCTTCATGCGATAACGCGTGAAAGCGAATCTTCAGAAAATCGTGTTGGAATGTGAATAGAATTACACTGATTGGTGGACAACTTTTTAAAGTTTGATAATTATGTCAGTCTGAAAAATCTGTAAATTGGCACATTCTGTTGAAGTAGTTCCAATACAAAAGAAATCTAACGGGATAGGCTTCTTTTATTATAAATGAAAATTCATGCAAAATTTGCATTTTCACCATTCAAAAGGAGATTTCTTAAGTGTACTGTTATACATGTTTTTGGGGAAAATTCCAACCGACGGTGTTTCAGAGTTTGAAAATAGAAAAATGCTATTCTATTCAATTCGTCGTATATATATTCTAGCACTAGCAGTATAATAAGGACGAGCATTTTCGAGAAATACGGAACCAGCAAAGTTGGAATAACTCCCAATTCTCGTTTCCTTTGTTCTTCCCTTTTTTTAACAAACAGAAGCTAAACTAGTCAAGATGATGATCAAAGTAGCTCTTGTGCTCTGTGCTATTGTGGCAACCAGTATGGTGTGCGCAAAGAATTTTGAAGAGCAAGATGCATTGGACACTTGTAAGTATATAAGTCAGCCAGGGACGCCAATGCTTGAAAAGTTGTGATCGCCCTCTCAAGAAAACTGTCATAAAATCCCTATAGCTATTGTCAGAAAAACTGTGAAACTAAGACATTTCGTTTACACATAATATTGTCGTACGATTCTCTTTTAGTCGGGGGGGGGGGGGCAGTAAGAATATAATTGGTACTAATGACCACAGGTTTTCCAACCCCTCCCCGAAACAAGTTTTATCCACTCTTCAAAACTTACCCTTTCGAATTTTTTTTCTCGAAAATTTCCCCACTATACAAGGTTAACCCCTTTAGAACATGTTCTCTTTAAGGTATTATGTCCAATTTGCAGGCCAAAACATGAAAAGGTTAATGTTTCTAACGGCATTTGAAAGATAATATTAATTTAGAACTTCCCTCAAAACGAAAGGGGCTTGAACATTTCTTTTAGTGGGAAAATAACGAGCATTAGTTGTCGAATCGACTTTAGTGATTGCAATCATTTTAGTAATAGTCTGATTTTCAGACCCTTGTGCCGAATGGAAGTACGTTTTGTGCTGCGCAAAGATTCAATCAGTTTAATTGTGGCCATTAAAAGAAGTGGGTTATTGATGTAAACAAATTCTCATGTACCTTTACAGCTCATTTTATGTATGTTATTACCAAAGAAAAAAAGAGAAGTCAATCAGTCACTCAATAGTGTCTGACAGTAAAATCTAGAAATTAAACGGGTTCCCTTGCATAATTTGAATAATATGACACTGCTAACGTTTACATCTCACAGATAAGACATACGTGACATATTCATAGTTCCTGCAAAGTTCTTAATAATTTGATGTTGATTGCAAATGGGACATAGGCCTAGTACCTTTAAGAAGATATTATTAATCCCTCAAAAATTGCTTTGAATAACTATTATTGATATTGACAGCACAATGTCTAGGCAAGGGTACTCTAAATGCGTTTCAACAAACACAACAGACTTTCCTCCCCCCCCCCTCATTTTTGCCTTTATGCGTCACTCGCCTTAACCAGCCGAAACGTTTTTGGTCGCGAATGTGTCTACAGCAATATATATTTGCTTTATTTTCATTACATCTCGTTTCTATGGCAACCATGCAGTGCTGAATCTGATGCTCTCAGAGGAGGTTGCATCTCCTGATGCTGTAGCCTTGCAAGGCTGGTTCAAGCACGCGTTTCATCACGTCACTCATGCAGTTAGCCACGCGGCTCATGACGTCAGTCATGCAGTTAAGGCAGGCATCCACGCTGGACAGAGAGCGTGCTCGGGGCTTGGTCTTTCTCCAGAAGAAGCTCGTAAGTAGCCACAGAAATATAATTATGAAAAGAGAATAATAACAGTTACAATAATGGCAATGATGATAATCATGATGATGATGGTAATTAATAATAATATTTTGTAAATAATAATCAATATTAGCATTATCATCATCATCATTGATCATCAATAATGATGATATTATCATTTTTTCATCATCATTATTATTACTGGAAATAATTCAAACGTTTGGACCAAGTTTAATGTATATATAATCCAACATATTCAATATTTCGAAGCACAGGGCCCGGTCTTATAAAGAGTTGATATCAATCGCAACTATGTACATAAGAGATAGGAGACTGCAAACTAGCGATTGATTGGAGGACTTGCGATTGATTTGAATCTATCGCAAGATTGCAACTCTTTGTAAGATGGGGCCCTAAATTCATTAGACGGAAACAAGGAAATTTGTTGTTAAAGATAGTTGTCACATTGTGTGTCATCATCATCAGCAACTTCAGGTGGCGCTGTAAAGCGCTGCTGTGGTCTTCACGAGAGCACGCCATGCAACTCTTCACCTGCCATTAATGTGTTGCACCTTTCATTCCTTGTCCAGACCAGGGGACCAGTCCAAGATATTGGTGGGCGACCTCTACCCCGTTTTCCTTCGACTGCTCCTTGCATTATTTGCTTCTCAACACATTCAGATCTCCTAACAATGTGCCCAAAATAGTTAAGTTTTTTTTTCCATGAGGACCCCTTTTTTTTTTTTTTTGTCCCAAAAAAATCGCAACGACTAAGCCAGCCGCTGAATTAGCGGGGGGGGGGGGGTCCCAAAAATATCGCAACGACTCAGCCAATCGCTGAATAAGAGGGGGGGGGGGTAAGGGGACACTTTTTTTTTGGGGGGGGGGTCTCGAAATTTGAAAAATTGACATTTTGTTCGGGGGGGGGGGTAAGGTCACCTTTTTTTTAGGTCAGCCTTTGGCATAATTTTTTTCATTAAAAAAAATCACATGGGGGGGGGGGTTGCTCCAAAATACACACATACAAAAACATGAAGGGGGGGGGGTTGACCCCCAAACCCATCCCCCCCCCCTGTGTACGCGCCTGCCCTGGGGAGTACACATATTCCTGACACTGACAGGCACAATTTTATAAGCGCGTATGAGCTAATCTAGGGGTCAGACTTAAATTATGGACATCCATGTGTCCCGGAGTCTGTTAGTGTCGAGCCCTTCCTAAGCCAGCCAAATTAAAGCTCGCATTCTTAGAAGTAATTGATGTTTATTTCATTCATCATAAAAGTTTTATAAAAAACATATCAAATACAAAACAGTGTAGGACTACGAGTTTATACAATAATTAAAACAGAATACAACAACAACAAGAATGTCATATGAATGTGGAGACAGCTGGGAAAGCCCAAGGGGTTTATTGGTGCAGCAAAATCGAAACATCGTACCACGTACCCATTTCAATCCTGGATGGGGAGAAACAATGAAAATAAAATGCATTGCTTAGGGACATATAGTAAGTGCCTTGTCGGCTATTGAACTCACAACCTTAGATTCTCCAACGAGGGTTTTAAGGCCCCCCTAAAAAGAACGATAAGGCCCTTTTATTTCTTCTTAAAATAGCCGCCCAGCACATTTTCCAAGACATCCGGCCGGGCTTTTTTTCTGATGGCCGCTAACTTTTATGTTTATTTTTTCCCCGAAAAAACATACTTTTAGCAGTATGTTTTTTCGTTTTTTTTCTTTAAAAAAACAAGCAAAACAAAATAAAACAAGGCGGCCTCAACAACGAAAAAGGGAGTGGGCGGCGCGGGGACGCTAAACATGATTTTTTTTTGAGTGAATATTTTTCCTAGCCAGTCCCCTCTCCTTGTTTCATCATATTTTCAAATTTTTATGTACATCTTAGGCGTTAAAATTCTGACTGCGATCCCAGAGATGAAAGAAGAGGATCTCACCGAAGAGGGTGTTCGAGCAATCTGCGCTGGTGCACATGCCCTTGGCCGTTAGACTCGGTACGTATTTTTTAAAAACAATATTAACATGAAACAATATTATTATACTGGTGAGCCCTAATATTTTTTTTGCCCTCGAAAATGGCACCCTGCCCCCTTGACCACCAGGGGAGGGGACCCGTCTCCAAAAAACGATAAAATTTACGTGTTTTTACCTTCTTTTTTTCCCCAGGGGAGGGGACCCGTGCCCTCCTGGTTAGGCATTGGGGGAGGGGGGGGGGGGTGGTGTGGTGGCAAGCCTGGGCAAATCAAAACTATAAACAATCCACCACTTATAAACCTTTTACATGTATTTTGCTTTAACAATTTAAATACATGTCAAGTTTCAAGTAAGCAATGTTTGAGAATATAATAATGTATGCCTATACCTACGTTCTTACTCTGACATTAAAAAAGATACTTCTCTCAGTTTGGATGTTCCAGCAGTTTCAGTTTTAGAATTGTTGATGATTGCAATTGATCAATAGTGATAAATATGGAGTCATTAAAAGAATTATCTCCTAATAAGAAATACAATATACATGATATTGTATAGGTCTATATGCTTCTTTCTTCCCACCGTGCCCCTCTCCCTTTTTCTCCTTCCCTCTCCCTTTTCCCATTCTTTCTCTGTCTCCCTTTCTCCCCCTCTGCCCCTCTCTCTCCCCTTTTTCTGTCTCCCTTTCTCCCACGCTCTCTCCCCCTTTTTATATGTCTCTCGGCCTTTCTCTCCCCTTTCTCTCCCCTTTTCTCTGTCTCCCTTTCTCCTCCTTTCTCCCGTCTTTCTCTGATTCCTTTTCTCCACAGCTCCTCATTATGTTTTAAACAAAAGATATTGTCTTCTTTTATTTCTCACATAGGAAGGGATCGTGATACAACATTTGGAACGCTTGATGTCGATTCTTCCTCGAGAAACAATGAAATAAAAGCAAGAAATTGTCAACTCCATCATGTTTTTGCAATTTCCTTATAATTAGAATCTTCTTTATCACTCCTGAATTGTTAAAATCCTTAAACCTTGTTTTCCCTCTAAAATGAAATGATGGTGAGTGTTTTTCATTATCAATACATATTTTGCCTTTACTTCCATGTATCCATTCATTATACATCTTTTCAAGGTGTTTACACCTTGTTAACCCGAAGCTCCTTTCCCCTTCGTCTGCACTAGTTTGCCTTTCTCCACGCCAGACTTTAGGGCTGTAGGCTTAAAAGTACACCAACCTTAAAATCTAGCATAATACTAAATCATTTCATCAAAAGCTTCAATTAAAAATGTTTTCTCTGTTTTGCTCTTTTTTTCCTAAAGAAAAGTACCAAAAACAAAACATTGTAAGCATGGTATAAGGGGAATAATTATTAGTATTGGTAATAATGCTGATAATAAAATCACATGAACTTGCAAACCATAGCCTGCTTTGGACATTTTGTGATATGATATAAAGCTAGTAGTGTATGATAGATAAAATATTGTTTGCATGCGGGGAAAATACGAAAACAACAACACAGTGATGAGAATAAATGTGAGAGGCAAATAAAACAAAGTGAAAAGGTTAAATAGAAGAATAAAGAGAGAAAGAGAAGAAGGGGGAGCACGGGAGAGCAGAGAGAGGAGAGATAAAGGAAGAGAAAGTGAGAGAGAGAGAGAGAGAGAGAGAGGGGGGGGGGGGAGGCAAGGAAAGAGGACAAAAGAAGAAGAAAGATGAGTGATAACAGAAGAGACAACTAAAGGCAGAAACGGAAAGAATAGAGAGAGAGAGAGAGAGAGAGAGAGAGAGGGGGGGGGGGGAGGCAAGGAAAGAGGACAAAAAAAGAAAAAGATGAGTGATAACAGAAGAGACAACTAAAGGCAGAAACGGAAAGAATGAAAGAGAGAGAGAGAGCGATGGGGTGACCAAGGTGATGCAAGAGATGAGGATCATTTGAGATGGAGAGAAGAGAGAGGAGAGCAGAGAGGTGGATTTATCTTACCTGTAAACCTATGGATAGGACGGTCTTTGTATAATTATGCTAAAGGCACTGACAGTGCCTTCAAGGGCCACTCTAACCAAAACGGGCTAAAATGAAGAAAAAAACATGTAAAATAATTTTGACGGAGATTCCTAACATGACAATGATTTCTCTTAGAAATCATCAATAATTCTGGAGTCAAGCTTTAAAAAAGACGACTCAGAACGCTCAGAAAAAAAAAACGAAGTTTCGGAGCTGTATTGCGCAACTGTTTATGACGTCACTGCAGGCGCCTCTCCGGTGAAAAGGAGGGTGGTTTAGGCATCAACATGTCTTTAAAAAGGCAAACTATGATATTAATTGGAACAAAAAAGACATTTATCCAAAAAATTATATGCACTTCATAATCCCAGTACGTTTCTGGCAATTTCGTCATGTTTAATGTAAGATCCTTAGTTGTAGGTCGAATCGGACATGCCCGCAATGACGTCAAATGCGTCATCATGGCCACGTGACCGTATTACCTCTTTTCGAGGGGCGTAGCCCAGCAAGCCCTTTAAAAGGACGTCACAGTGCCTTAAAAGGACGCCACACAATATTGTATATATGTAAAGTAGATGATATTTTATCACATAACTTTGTCTTCGATTTGTCAAATCAGAAACAAAAATCAGAAATTGAATAATTTTCTCTCTCTTTCACAGACCACAGACAAGCACTAAATACTAAAGTGCAAAAAGTTAGTGCTTGCCTGTGGTAAATTACTACACTGTCGCTCATATACTTGAAATATTTTAGTTTTACCCCAATTTATAGAATTATTTTAAAAATAAATTAAAAATAATAGATCTAGATAATAGCATACATTCTCAGATTTTATTGAATAATAATTTGCCAATGTGTGTTTTGCGTGACTGCTAAAGCATGTGTATGCTTCTATGCTTATCAACTAGGGGACCTACGCCCTTAAGTCATAAATGACAGTAATGAGGATTAATGCCCCACAAAAGGGCACTAATATAGCACATCGACACGGTTTTGATCCTGGGGCCTCACAGTTACGAGGCCATTGCTTTGTCACTGAACCATCAGCGTGTCCACACACAAAACAATTTATCCCGAAACTCTATAACGAAACGTCGTATAAAGAATCATCGTACAAATTTCAGAGTGTCCACACACAAGAAAGGTCGTATAAATAATCATCGTATATATTCCAGGATGTCCACACACAGAAGAAAGTAATCCTGAAACTCTACAGCGAAATGTCGTATAGGTGCGCAGTACGTATGCTACTGCGGTCATGAAATGGAAGCGGAAATGAGAGGTCTGGGGGGTGTTTCATAAAGATGTTCGTAAGTTACGCACGACTTTACGCACGACTGGAACATGTTCTTGGGTGCTAATCAGATTCTCAGTCATTTACATGTAGCACAAGAACTTATCACCAGTCGTGCGTAAAGTCGTGCGTAACTTACGAACAGCTTTATGAAACACCCCCCTGGTCTCCTTTCGCTCGAGGTCACGTTAAGCCTCACCCATTTAGTTACACTAGTTACACTAGTTACGTCCACACACAACACCTTCCGTGATTAGGCGTGATTAGGCGTGATTCTTTATTGAGTTTCAGTTCGAAACGATGCCCAAACCTACGTTTCGTTAGACTAGTTTCGTTATACGACGTATCGTTAGTGAGCGTCCACAAACACAATTTCATCGTAAAACTATCGCGAAACGGTAACACTATCGCGAAACGGTATAGCTAATCACGCCTAATCACGGAAAATGTTGTGTGAGGACAGGGGGCATGACTGTACGCAGCGGGGGCTAGAGTAGGGGGCAGTTTCCATAAATTAAAAAAAACAGAAAATGCAATAAATTTGCATTTTACCCCGGTCCCCAACATAAACAAATCCTCTTGGCGGCCATGCATTATGGCTCAAGGCATAATTTATTTATAATAAAAGAAGGCTATCCCGTTAGATTTCTTTTGAATTGGAACTACTTCAACAGAATGTGCCAATTTACAGATTGTTCAGACTGACATAAGTATCAAACTTTAAAAAGTTGTCAACAAATTATTGTAATTCTATTTATATTCAAACACGATTTTCTGAAGATTCGCTTTCACACGTTATCGCATGAAGGCATATTTCCTTTCTATTTTGTCTTTTTCATATAATGCAAATTTACTTAGGCCTAGTATTTAACGAATAAAACCAATCAATCATTTCACCACAGGGTCGCTTTTCCTCCCTCGCTTAGATTACTCCTAGACTTTACAAGCTTTGGGTTTAATACCGATTCCTGGATTAAATGCGTTTAAAAAAAATTCAATACATTGCTTTAATTTCTAAACGATATGAACGAGAAATGAACTTCCAATTGTGAGTATTTTTAGCTCATAATTTTTGGATAGGGGCGGCAAAAATTTATCATTTGCCCAGGTTGCCATAAAAAAAATCCTATACTCGCGCTGCTGACTTTAGAGATAAATTGAATGGGTGATGCTAACAGTATATAAGATTGCAAATACCTTCACAAAATCAAACTGAAAAACTATTTCAATAGACTTGTCGAACATTAAAATGTGCGAATATAACAACGATGCATTAGATGCATTATATAAGATTGCAAATACCTTCGCAATATCGAACTGAAAAGCTATTTCAATAGACTTGTCCAACATTAAAATGTGCGAACATAACAACGATGCATTAGGTAACAGTAATCCGGATTTGATTGACTCATCCACAGGACCACATCACCTCTACATGATTGATATCTTCATATACCGAAACACGATTGTAGTCCGAAGACTAATAATATCATCATTATAATATACAATGGGAAACATAACGAACCAAGTGTAAACATTATACATCAAAGATATAAATTAAAAGTAAATAAACCTATAAGGCAGATTGTAGAATATATGCATCGTATTGATGAACAGTAAATAATAAAAAAAAGTCATATGCCATTTGAACGAAACAAGATTTAGAAATGGGCCAAAATACGTATTATCGAAAAATCGGTTTGGAAGAAAAGTTCTGTAATTAGTAGTCTGCAAAGTAGAAAATAGATGCTTACCAATCTGGTGAGAAGGTTATGAAGGCAGCTTGTTGCGGGTGAAATGAGCTCCTGAATTGATGACTCGAACCGATTGGCTCCCCTTTTATGGAATTATTCCTCGCCACTTTCCCCCGGCTTTCCCCATCTTTGCGTCTTTGATCATTCTTGTTCGCGTGTAATGATTGATAGGACCGATGAGGTTGGCCAGATGTTTTGATAACTGATAACTTTGTTTTGATTTTAGAGACTTTTTATTCAAGGAGAAATATAAAAAGAGATATATGGGCGGATCTTCTTCTTCTTTTTTTTAAATGACCGAGTTTAAGGAAGACGAACCCATTTAGCTCAATGTAAATGAATATTCATTTAGATCATAGATTATCAAAATAATGATGGATACACTTATGACCTCGACAAAATATTGGTTTTTATTTTTGTTTAACTTCCCCCTTTACCGCGGCGCCAGCCATCAATCAGCAAACAACCCGCATACGATCTTTCCTCCGACTTGGCCAGACAAAATGATCAATGCCGAAGCTTGCGACTTTGAGAATATATCCGGCTTTACTAGACCTAGGTGGGGTTTCAAACTTTTCCGCGCTCGGATTTCTTAAAAGCAATCCACTATTACAATTCTATTTTTCCTTAGTCTATTGATTCGTTCTTGATAAAATAATCTATGTTGGTCGTAGCCTAGCTTTATATTGTTCATGATAAGCTTTATTAAAATAAGACAACTTTAATTTGTAGGTCATGGAATTTATTTGAATTTTAATATTTAATTTCATTTATTTATTCAGTTCTAAATATATGATAAAACTTAATATAATTGAAAGATATATAAAGAGATATAAACTTGTTCATACAGAATTTGCCAGGACTCCAAGATAAGCAAAGCTTGATGCCTTAAATGTGACCCCTGACAAATATTATTGAACTGAATTCAATTTTGAATTGAATTTATTTCTACCCAACATCAAATAAAAGTGTACAAAACGATACATGTACAACCAATTAAGTGGAGGAATAACAAAAGTATAAATACCTATCTAGGTTATCCCCTTGATTAAGATACAAGCAAACAAAATATGTAATAAAGGGGGTTCATGGCAAAAGTACAGCAAGAAGAGAAATATGATAGGTAGAGATTGAAGAGTGATTTAGTGTGGTGTGTGTGCGTGTGTGTGGGTGTGTGTGTGTGTGTGTGTGTGTGTGTGAGAAGAAAAAAAAGGTGTGCGCGTATGTTATTATTTTTTTAACTTTTCTATTTTTAAAAACTTATATATATTTCTTGTTTCTTTTCCGCCTCATGTACACTTTTATGATAATATTGCAGTGTGAGGATCCCAAGGAGGAACAGTTATGTTCTATAAACATTGCTGAATTGGATTGTCCTCCGATTGTTATGTATCATGCACATGTATTTATATTTAACTTTGTATATTTTTCTTTGTATAATATTTTTTTTTCTGATTTCGGAAATAAAGACAACAACAACAATATTTCCAAGTCCCTCGAAGAGGAATAAAGCCGCCAGTCCCCTGGTTGCTTCCTTACAAGCAAACACCTTTTTTCTTAGCAGTCTGGTAAAACAAATAAACCACCTAACCAAAATAATCTCTGATCCATTAAGCTACACTGTAAAAAAATAAAAGTCGAAATAACTCAATAATGAATTGAGGAAAAGAATTGCCTTATTTTTATTAAGTAAATATTACCTACGGCATCTTAAGTAGAATTTACTTATTTTGCTGAATTAATTTTTACTCAGTTAAATCGAGTTACATTAACGTAAATAATTTAAGTATTGTAATCATTTTAGATAATTAAAAAAAAGCTATGATAGGATTACATATTGCACGATTTGGTACCCATCTAATCTAACAAGTAACATCCACTAATCATTCACTACTTCTATTTAAGATTAATCATAATCACTAATCAATAACACTACTTCTATTTAAGATTTAACCGTATATATATATCTACCACCATCACAAACTATTACATACGCTTCAATTCGACACATATTGAAAGGCTCCAAATTTTATATATACTTGATCGTAGCATCTTAAAAGGAAAATTGGTTGACAATTTCCTGAAATATCAAGTTTTGATTTGTTTTGAACTGGGTAACAATTAAAAATTGTCTTGTCTTTGCTTAGCCATGTTAAATGAATTAGTAAATGTTTTAAAGTCCTTAAATATTCATTCAACCACAAAAAAGAATTGTTTTATTTAAAAAAGAGTTTAATTTGGTCTTAATGAATATTCATAAATTATGTAAACATTTTTATTACGCACTGCATCGGTCCTTACTTTAAAAAGATAAGAATAATCAACATAAATTGTTTGAGTAATACGTATAATTTCTGATTTTGAGTGTAAATTAATACAAGCTGAAATTACTTAAAGTTCTTATGTATTTGATTTTACTTAAATATTCCACGTATGTTCTACTAAATTGAATGTTTGAGTTAGCAAGACTTAAATTTAGTGCGTAAGTGGCAAAACTAATGTTTTCAAGTACATTCTACATGAAAAAAATACGTAAAAATTACCAATGAACAAATTCTTTTTTACAGTGTATAAGCACTATTAATGCACTACTTGTTTGGCAAGTTCTGAATAAATCAATATATTTCAGTAACATTTATAACTGAAGCACAGTACACGTAGCTTACAGGATTTCTACTTCATTTGTTAGTTTACATCAGAATCCTTGTCCGATTCCATCACCCGTTGCACAGACGACCTTTCTTTCATTTTCTGTCTTACGCTGTTCAGGGTGGCTTGGGTGTCTTCTGCATGAGGCGCCCTCTCTAGGATGTCTAAAAGACATTGCTCGGCCTTTCCAAGCAGATCTCTCCTGACCTGTATAACACAGAGGTTGTGCTGGGCCTGCACGTTTGACGAGTCCAGGTCCACTATCCGCTGAAAAAGCTGATGAAAAAGAGGTATGATATCATGAAAACAATTATGTTCTTCTTTTTTATTCTTCTCCTTCTACTTCTTCTTCTGGTAATCGTAAAAGGGCTATATGTAGCCTATCACGAAGATGAATTAAAGATTACAAGTGGTGTGAGGAAGATAAATGATTTTTGAGTGGGATAAGGGTATTAGATGCCTCAGGAGTAGTCCCTGGACATATTGTAAGAAATTGGTAGTAAAGGGCAATCCAACCATTGCAACCAGCTTACGTTTGTGGTAGCCAAAATATATGAGAAAAAGAATGGCAAAAGTTTTTGATAAATTGACAATTAATAAGAAAATGATGAATGTTTGAAGTACGAAATCACCTACTTCTATGCGAATCTTAAAGGGCAATTCAATCCATATCATAATTCATTTGCATGGAAGCGGAAAATTAAGAGAAATGGAATGGTGAGAGTTCTTATAAATCAGACCAATAATAAGAAAATTATAAATATTTGAAGTATGAAATCAACTAAATTACATTTTATTTAAGCAATGTAGCGGTAAAAGTAACATATTCTTGCCAATCTGAAAGAAAAAAAGAATATGTGATCAATTTAGCCCTGAAAATAAATCCTGTAATTGTCAAACAAATCTAATACTTACTTGCTGAGATTGGACTTCATCTTGAAGTGAATTTAGCAGGATTTCTCCTAGTAGGAGCATGCTTCTTACAATTTCTGTGTGGTTAGGGTGATGCTGCCAAAAAAAAAAAAAAAAATCAACATCACTAAAATTTCTTGTCTTTTGTTTTCATCAAAGAATTTAATTAATTTCAATTCATTTTGTATTAACTTCACGATCCATAAAAAAGTCATTGTATGAATTGAGCTAAGTTTCTCTCATTTTTGTGCTTCTATTGAAAGTTTTGAAACCAACTTAAAAAAGGTGGATTTACCAATTAAATATTCTTACGAATGAAAAGTCTGGAGGAATCCATACTGAGAACAGAATTATGACAATGAGAGTCATTCTTTAAGGTAATCAATACACCTAAAAAAACATATTTGGATGACACGATTGCACTAATTGTGCAACACCTTTTGAAACATGCGAATATACATGTATATGACCTGTAATACGGAAATATAATTGGAACATGATTAAAGGCACGACACATACACAAGGGTATTGAAATTGTCCCGAGTTGTCTTTCAAAAGTCGTTGCAATCGTTGGATGATGATGTAAATTCCTTACCTTGAGGAGAGTTTCTAGATACGCTTTGGCTCGGAGAGGGCGCTCTTCTTCAAAATGAATCTTAGCCGTGTTGAACAGGGCTTGATAATCAGAGGGTCGGATCTAGGAATGTGAAAAGAAAAAGGAGACTCTAGGCCTGTCAATCCAAAATCATTCTCAAATGGCAGTGATTATAATATGCCGTAACTATAAAGTCTTTTTAATACGGAGGCCCACCACACAATGTAATGTTCGACTGCCATCTGAATACAGAAGAGATTCTAAATTCTAAGATAAATAAATGTATTTTAATTGGAACATCATCCTGACTGGGGTTCCTAACAGTAATAAAGCATACTTTTAGAGAATTAAAGGGAAATCTAACCTTTATAGCAAACTATTATAGAGGAAAGCAGAAAATCAGAAAAGAAGACTGGAGAAAGTTTGAATGAAATCAGACAAAAAATGAGAAAGTTAGGAAATTTCCAATTTTCAGACATTCCACTCATGTATAATTTGTTATTCAGAGCATTCCGACTTGTTCAAAAGATAAAATATAACATCATTATTAAAAAAAGTGACACTCGACTACTATGGGCTAATACTGAAACAAGGTGGGAAGAAATTAGTCTTACCTCAAGCGCTTTCTGATAATAGTGAAGAGCTGCTGACGTGTCCTCGTCATCCATAAAAATCAAGGCTAGAGTAGAATAGAGTTGGACACTTGGAGGATCTATCTCCAGCAACTTCTTTAATCTGAATAGGAATAAGGCGACGCATCAGTAGGACAGGAATGAGTTAAGGGCTAAGTTTGTTTTCTCTTTTAAATTGGCAACAATGATATTTCGCTGTAAATGCTATATTGTTTTTATGAAAATTTGTTTTATCTGAGAGCAATAGGGATGAGCAATAACTATGGCAGACAGTTAAAACATTGCCAATTCGTAGGGGCAGTTAGGAAACAGTGATTTTGAATTTCTGATTATAATGTTACCAAGTCGAGGATTTTAATACTTATTTTTCTTTTTAAACTTCCTGCTGTAAAGCTTTACATGGTATCATAACATGAAAATGAACAGCATGTTAATTTTTCTCTTTAACAAATAGATCGTGTATATCTTTTATGGCACTGAATCAAATGTTATAGAGCAGATGTGGACAATAGTCTCAAAATAGGGACAACGACAATTGTGTCCATAAGTTTATTGGACTCCAGGGTACTTTAAAGAGAAGGTTGAGTTCTGGGAAGCGGTGAAAAATAATTTGTGAGCGTTATCATTCTTATTATGCAAGTGTGGAAGAACATTAGATAAGACATGTTCCCTTAAAAGCATGGCTCTTCAAATGCCTTCATATTCTAAATATGTCATGTAACATCGTAAAACTCGGGGGGTAGGATTTTTACGCCACGTGTTCGTGTAGTCCCATATACATCTTTATGTGTTCAGTGTTTGTAACTTTACCAAGACTTGGCCAAATTTCTTATCATTTTGATGATTCCAGAACCTTGCAATACCTTGCAATGGATGAACAACCTTTTCTGGTCGATTCCACACCGTTTCTTTCACAATGCAATCGCATGACCAGAACTCAACTTCATCTTTAAGAGTAGTCCCATTTGTATAGCGCTTTAATTCAATACTATCTTTCTAAGCGCTTTCAGTTCATTTTAATTATTGTTACCATGCTAATTATTGCTAATCCGTCCGCACATGACAATGCACGTGCTCCGCCCCCTGTGGAGTAATATATTATGTATTCTAAGAGTGAAACTTTAGTCAAATACTTAGCCCAGAGTGAGGATTTTGCAGCAAAATTGATTTCAATTGACCTTTGACCTCTTTGGTATGCCCTAGCAGTAGTCACTATTGCTCAAGCGTAGGGAAATTTGGCATACCTTCAAAAAGGAAATTAAGTTACAATTTCCCCTACATTTTCAGAAAATGGAAAAAGAAAGGGGTGCCACGCACATGTCGATCCCATCATCCTCCCCCCTTTTTTAAATTTTGCTGCAATGAGCCATTTTCATTTTACAAATTATTTCATTCACCTGTTACAAACAATTGTATCTCAATAATAAGAATGCCAATTGCACACATTATTTTGTTGCTAGGTAGGATATACCATTATGACTTGCCCTACCTAGCAACATGTAATGCTATTCGCATTCTTGAAATACTATTATCCGTAATAGGTGAATGGAATCATTGATATCCAGGCAATTCACAAAGACGTATGCATTAAATTTGGTTACATTACGAATGTGGCCTCTAGACTCGCTTCTGCGTAGATAATGTTATGCATTACCAATCTATTCAAAAACCCAAAGTAACCGAACATTTAAAGCTTTACACCAGGAAGATTAAAAAGAAAAATAAGTATTAAAATCCCCAACTTGGTAACATTATAATGAGAAATTCAGAATCACTGTTTCCCAACAGCCCCTACGAATTGGCAAAGTTTTACCAGTGTGCCATAGTTATTGCTCATCCAGATAAAACAAATTTTTCAATGTGCCTCATACCTCTTGATAGCAATAGTCCTTCTAGCAGCATTGCCAGACTCATGGATGTAAAGAGCCGATCTGAACAGCGAAATTCTGTGCTGGGGATCTATCTCCAAGGCTTCATCAAAATGTCTGTGCGCTTTGGTTTCTTGCTCCTTTTGAATGGCTATTATAGCTAGCTGAAAGGAGATGAAAACGAATTTTACCAATTCAAAGTTTATGATTTATTTTTAAAAAAATTAATAGAAAAAATAATTAATAACTGTTATATCAAAATGGGACATGTACTTTCAGATATTTAATCAGCAAAGCTTCTGAAAGGCAAAATCTCGAACGATCATCTTGACAATCTAAGGTGTAGTTGATACTGGACACAATTATCCTGCTAAAATTACTATTATCACTATTATTGTCATAATTACCATTGTAGTGACTTGAAGTTTAGGAATAACATCATCATCATAGACAATATTATTATAGTGTAAGTACACTGTATTGATATTATCATCTACATTAAATTATTAATATCATCATCAACATATGATCATCATCATCCTTATTATTATTAGTGTTAGTATACAAATTATCATTTCCATTATTATTATTATTATATCTTTAAAATTATTATTGTTATTGTTGTTGTAGCCATCTGATTGGTCGAAATTGGAGTCGTGATTTTAGCCATTCCCGTAAAGAAGCGAAACATGCTCAAACCGGTTAATAGTCCAAGAGTGAGATCCCTCTAAATTCCGGTTACCATGCAAATAGTTAACATTTGCTGCGATACCCATTGGTTTAGGTGTAAAAATTGTCTTTGTGCGAGCGTGGATACCATACAGTGCTTTTTGTCAACGATTCCCAAATGATCGAAACTTTCAGTCATTTTTCAAGTTAAGATTAACAGAGAGTGTTGGTTAATGACCCCTCGGCGCTCCGCCAAACCCAGGCGCGCCTCAGGGTAATGGCAGGATTTGTACTAGTTCCCTTGAGCATATAAAACAGCCAGGCCTGTAAAAGCAGTCGATATCTCTATATTATTATTAGGAAAACCCCGGGGAAAACTCTCTTGCAGCTGACTCAGACTTTTGCTATCTTGCGTCTACTTCCAGGGCCTCTCACTTTCAGGGCCAATGTTTATTGTAAACCGTATCCGGACACCTAGTCCCTGGACATCCACCCCCGGATAACCAACCCCCAGTAAACTACCCTCTAGGACAACTACCACCTAGGACAACTCCCCCCTAGGGGAACCACCCTCAAGAACGAATACCCCCAGACAACTACCCCGGACAACTACACCCAGACAATTACCCCATAGGACAATTCCCCTCCAGGACATCTTCCCCCGGAAAACTACCCCCGGACAACTTCCCCCGGACAACTACCCCCAGACAACTACCCCCTAGTAAAGTTGTCCGGGGGTGATTTTCCGGGTGAATTGTCCTGGGAGTAGTCGTCCTAGAGGGAGGTTGCCCTAGGGGGTAGTTGACTTGGGTTGGTTTATCGGGGGGGGGGGGTGGATGGCCAGGGGGTAGGTGTCCTAGAATGTAGTAGGGTGGGCGATCACCGCTCTCCAGAATGTAGATAAAAGTTGATATCTGGTCATGTGATCACATTATGTGATGTCAGAAGCTGTTTGGAAGCAATTGGAGAAGGCAATTATGTACTTAGAATTAAGGGTACGTTTATGCCCAACTTTTTCTGGCCAGAATGAGGCATCTGTTACGCGTTATAGTTCAAAACACGGTTGCGTCCTTTCTCATTTGTGTAGAATCACCGAAAAACGGCGATCGTAATCGCCGATCGTATACTCACAAAAAGGTACGTTTACGACCGGCGATTCTGGGGAAGCATAAACGCACAATCATTTTGTAAACGCGTTTAAATGGGGTCAACGTAGCATGCGCAGTGCAGGTGTGCGAATCAAGCTGCAGACTCTGCACTGCACTTCTCTGGTTCATCCAGGCATGATTCTGGCTGAGCCAGAATCATGCCTGGAGGAGCCAGAGAAGTGAGCATAAACAGTACACCGTGGAACTGCGATTACGATGAGCGTTTAGGATAAGCGTTTCAAATCGCTCATTCTGCCTTCAAAACTGAGCATAAACGTACCCTTAGAAGTGTTGTAGTATAGTGGATAAGTCACCGGACTGTGAACCACAGGGTACATGATTCGAATCCCCGTCACAGCACTGAACGTCTTATGGCAAGATTAATTAATCTATGTTTGACCAAAGAGATATCTCTTTGCCACACTTGACACAAGGGAGGTACAGTCATATACGTGGCAAACATAAGATCCTCGAAAATGCTAGAGATCATGGCAGCCTTGGGTAATAACTGTGGCGCGCCAGGAGTGTCAAGTTTGACAGACGTGAGTGCTTATATATTAAAAGAAAAGAATCACAATTAATATTTTAAATGCTGAATTTCCTGAACTTTAAAGTTTAGCTGGTAACCAACGAAGAGAATTTTCCCAGAAAAGGTGCTGGAACGTAAGCAGCGTGACCAGACGTCCCTTATTTTACGGGATCGTACCCTATTTCAATCATAATTTATGTCCTGCGTCACGAAACAAACATCCCATGTATGTTATTTCAGAATTGCGGTGTAACTGGAATGTATATAATTACAAATTGACATACGTGTAACAACTAAATTATTCCTACCCTTACCAAGTTTTGTAATTGTTTAAATATGTGAAAATTGATGTCCAGATTGGTGTTTCTTGAGAATGTGACATATTAAAGCTTATATCTATAAGAATTCAACAAAGGCTCTATCTTAATCGGTGCACCTTAATTTATTGACTAACCCCCCAAAAGAACTCCCATTAAACTGACAAGGAATATGAATAATGTAGTTGTTAACTGCATATGATACAGTAAGCTACACAGCCAACATATTATGTCACGATAGGGCGGATTCATAATTAACAGCGCCCCCACCGACAAGCTTTGCTATGACAATTGAAATTATTTTACAACCATAACAGATAACATCCTTTTCAGAATACCACCTTTGATAGCATATACTAAATGTGACGGGTAGCATGTTAGAATACAGCGTGGACTTGCACACTACAACGGCTTACTTCGAATCATCGGGTCATCGCGTCGGGTCGCGTTACCTGACCTTTGGTGAAAACATGCCCTTTTATTCACGAAATGTCGGGTAATGTTTTTGAAATAAACCGCTCTCATCTACAAATAGTCTGGTCTAATTTCCCCGACACTTTGTGAAAACCCTACGGCAAATCTACGAAAGGTCGCGTCATCTTCTGCTTTTGTTTCCTGAAAGGTCATGTAACGCGACCACTCGACCGGACGCGATGACCGATGATTCGAGGTTAGCCCACTACATGCAACCAACTTACATTGTAGAGCAAATCTGGAGTGGGCGGTTCTAGTTGGGTTGCTTTTTGATAGAGAGATTCCGCCTCGTCGAACTGGTCTTTTTTCACCATGATCTGTGCCAGATGGACGTAAGCTGCGAAATTTGGCTGCGACCGGATGACCATCCGGTAAAGCTGAAGTATAGAGGTGCCACATCATATTCAAAGGAGTAAAATCATGTGTGGTTGATAGCAGAGTAAAACATGAACCCAAGAGCATTTTCCACAAAATATGACCCTTTTAGCCTAAAAACAAGTACAAAATGGGGTCAAAAATATAGCCCTATCTGTGGCGAAAAATAATATGACCCTTTGTCATGAAATTTCCTGCTCTTTTAAAAATATCATACCCCATTTTACATATCCTTAAACGTTATTATTATTATTACTTTATTTGGCAGAAAAAACATGATACAAAAATACAGAAATGAAAATGCAAATCACACAAAAATACATGAACAATGGGTGCAATCTATTAAAGGGCCACTCTAACCAAAACGGGCTAAAAAATGAAAAAAAGAAATGTAGAATCATTTCTGACGGAAATTCCGAACATGACAATTATTTTTCTTAGAAATCATCAATAATACTGGAATCTATAGCTTCAAAAATGACGACTCAGAACGCTTAGAAAAAAAAGCCCAGTTTCGGTGATGACGCATTTGACATCACTGCAGGCGCCTCTCCGGTGAAAAGGAGGGTGATTAAGGCATACAAATGTCTTTAAAAAGGCAAACTATGATATAAATTGAAGAAAAAAGCAACATTTATACGAAAAATAATATGCATTTGATAATACCAGTACGTTTCTGGCAATTTCGTCATTCCTAATTATGAAATTATGAAATTATCAAATCGGACATGCCCGCAATATGACGTCAAAAGCGTCATCAAGCCACGTGACCGTATTAACTCTTTTCGAGTAGCGTAGCCCAGCAAGCGTGAGAACTGTGAAAAATGGATGGTTATTATCATTTTGGGGTCAATTTAGAGATTTTCTAAAACATCAGAGGCTGGAATATTAATAAGTAGGCCTAGAGGTGTATTAATGTTTTGAAAGGCTATGTTAGTTGGGATAGAGTGGCCCTTTAAACATAAAACATTTATAAAAAACATGCAAAATGTGACATTACAACAGTGATAATATTGCACAGATGAAGTAAATGCATATATATATATACATGCAATTGAAAGAAAATTGCATGAACATTTAAAGAATCGACTCGAAATAGGTTAAAATCACTGAATAGTGAATACATTCATGTGGAATCATGAGGCGAGAAAGGTCATTCAAGATAATATATTGACCAAGTGAATAGTAAGTCCATGGTTCAGGTAAAATCTATGGAAATTATGTATCAACAATTTATAAGTCGAAATTGCTGTGGCATGTTTGGCACGCCAGCAAATTATATAACTACAAAACATTCTTCTAATAATTATATTGCACTGCTAAGATAAATATTTGAGATTGCATAATAGTATTGAAAGTTTAAATTAATGACTCAACTGAGAGGGAACATTCAAATATGATAAGGCCTATATAAAGCATTTTACTTTACCCCTAATTTCCGCAAAGAAATATAAATGTATATATAAATAAATACGATTAACTGGAATTAATAACATAACTATGACTAAAATTAAGATGAAATACATAAATGTATAAAACTAATCATTGTCATATCAGACTCAAGGTGCATCGGCAAGATGGGAATTTAAGTGACTGCGTGCAAAAAGACACAATAACGTTGAAACGTTCGCAAACTTCCTCCAAAATCACCCCTGTTTGTGAATTTTCTTTCTATAATGCATCTACACCAAAGTAATATCACTGGGTGGAGACCATCCTTGAAAATTAAAGAGTTAATCCAATCCATGTTATCAGTTCATTTGAATATGATTGCAGAAAAATAAGATAAACAGAATGGTGACACTTAAATTAATCGAACCAATAATATGAGATTTATGAATGTTTGAAATATATGAGATCACTATAAAGCCCCCATCACACCAAACTAGTTCTCACTACGTTCTGGAAACGTCCTAAAAAATCATAACACGGGTCATGGTCGGGGCAGAATGTGTACAAATATGTCTATAATACGATCCTAGTTCGTTCATAAACAGTCCTCAATACGTCCATCTCGTCTGTACCCCGTCCACAGTTGGTTCATATCAAGTTCAGATCAGGTAAATGTGCCATTTTCAGGCAGTCCAAGACAGTCCGTAATCAGTTTAAACCCATTATTAACTAGTTCTACCTCGTAAAATACGTCCAAACCCATTTTAACTAGTTCGCCACTTGTTCTAACTAGTTTTTAATCCGTCCACCCCGTTCAGAGACAGTTCAAGTCGTCCTCATCTCGTTCTTAGTGCATTCGAACGCGCTCCTAGAGCGTGCGCAATACCGTCCTGGCTCGGGAGCTATAAAAACCCAGCGCGTTATCGCTTCTCCTCTTTCCCGTTAAACTTCAACGCTTCAAGCTTTGCAGATCAAGACATTCAACTAAACCCCCATCACACCTAACCAGTTCTCACTACGTTCTAGAAAATGTTGCCAAACGGGCTCAAACTTTGTGCGAACGGAGTGAACGTATTAGCAACTATTTACGATCTTTTAAAGAACTTCATGGACGGGTTTGGACTGGCTTGGACGGGAAGGGTGCTCTAGAACTCTGAGCCTGTTCAAAATTTCTCCGTCCTGCAATTAGACGGAGTGACAACGTACTTAAAACGAGATGGACGTACTACGAACGGAATTACCGTAGTATGAACGGAATTGACGGACTTCGATCCTACTAGGAACGTGTTTCAACGCGATGTGGTTGAGCAACAATTAGGAAGAACGCGTTGGGTTTTTATAGCACTCGAACCAGGACGGGATAGCACAGCATGGTAGGAGCGCGTTCGAACGCACTTAGAACGAGATGAGGACGAGTTGAACTTCTCTGAACGGGGTTGTTGGGTTATAAAAATGGTTTGGAATGCTTGGAAATTGATGTCAAATTTACCCGATCTGAACTTGAAATGATCTGGCTGTGGACGGGTACAGACGAGTTGGACGTACTGTGGACTGTTAATGAACGAACTAGGATCGTATTAGAGACATTAGTCCAGTCCCAGCCCGTCCATGAAGTCTAGTGAAATTTTCTAGTGCTTATAATACATCCACAGGGGCATCCAAATATATCAAAATTGTAAAGAATCACTATCCACCCAATTTTCAAAATTTCCCAAAACTTTGTATTACCTTTAATTCTAAGAGAACTTTGCTTTCAAGGTTGAATTTGCCTTTGAAGAATGAAAGTGAAATACACTTCATTTATGCTTTGTTTGGTTAGCCTCTCAACAAAACCCCCAACTATTTTTTGTAATGTCCTTCCTAATTCCCATTATACCGTTTTGTACTCGTCTATTAATGTATTTACATGTATTTACATTTGTATTTTTAATGTATTTGCTGGCATTGAATTAAACGAATTGAACTGAAGAAGAAAAAAACACGAAAAAGAGTACCTCTTCTGCATCAATGAACCTGCTCTTATTCTGCTGTATAATGGCCGCCAGATTGAGGTACACACTGAGATATTTTGGAGTAATCTTCTTTCCTGTCCTGGGCTGTGGCATCAATTTAACTGCCCTCCTGTACCCTGCCTCTGCCTCGTCCGGCTTACCGAGTAGACGGTTCACTCTCCCGATGTTGATCCATGACCCTATGTCATCTGGTTGGACCCTGTATTAACACAAAATGAATTCTGGTAAAGCCGACTACTTTATGGAGCTTTCGCATTGTTTTTATGTTACTTTGGAAGATTATCAAATGACACATCCTAGGTATATATATTAGTACTGTTGGTTTGTATTATGGAATTGTGACTTTAAATTGACATAAAATATTATTTTATCTGAAGTTTTTTTCTGATTTAAGCTCTGGTAGGGCTATCAGCTTGATACGGTTAAATACCGAAATCTTACGATAACATACATAAAAGATCATTTCATTTGATGTTTTGTCTGATTCAAGCTCTGGAAGGGCTATCAGCTTAATGCATACCCCATGATGTGAGCCCTATAGGACACTGCTAGAGAAGTCTTGCTTTTAAGAAATTATGTTTCTTTTGAACGCAGACCTTGATCTGTCACAATAACTTTATAGGAAAGGGTTTTAACTCCATGGCACACTTACGTTGCGGCATTATTGTAATATATGAATGCATCTTCCCAGCGGTCTTCTGCTTCCAAAGCGTGACCTACGTTGTTCCACAGCTTAGCGTTGTTCTGGGTAACCTTCAGGGCCGAGCTGAAGAGAGAATATTCACTCTCCCTGCAAAAGGTTCCATCAAATGAACTAGTGGATAAGCCAATATATTTCTTTCACAAAATTAAAGGTTATATTCTTCGCTCATAAATGTTGCGAAAAAAAAATTCACATCAGTATCCTATACAGTGCGTCCCAGAAAAAACGAAACCGAGAGGTATCGATGTTTTATCATAACTTAATCACAACTATAATTAATGAATGATACATATTTGGAAAGCTTAGAGTCTCCTCGTTCATGTGATGCTACTCACGTGATGCATATTTCACGCATGAGTGATTAAAAGCAATTTGAAGGAAGGAAACCAAAAAGACATTTGGCGTGCGGTATCTGAATTTCGAAGAAAAATTCACATTTCTAGAAAGTTGAGTTTCTGCCCTTTTATATGACACACTCAATCAGGAAAAATGAGCGAGGAATGACAAAGTTCTGTTTGTTTAAAGTAGTGCTTGCATTTCCATAATTTTATTAAACGAATTCGTTTTCAATGGCTGCCTGCCGTATCAATAAACGAAATTAACAAAAGACTTAACTCCGTTTCATTGACAATCAGCCGTAGACGAGAGTCTTCATGCATGGCTGGTTGTCAACGAAACGGAGTTAAGTCTTTTGTCAAATCTGCTTTTTGCTACGGCAGGCACCCAGTGAAAACGAATTCGTTTGTTAAAATTATGAAAATGTAAGGGCTACTTTAAACAAACAGAACTTTGTTATTCCTGGCTCATTTTTCTTGATTGAGGTATCATATGAAAGAACAGAAAATGAACTTTCTAGAAATATGAATTTTTCTTTGAAATTCAGATACCGCCCGCCAAATTACTTTTTGGTTTCCTTCCTTCAAATTGCTTTTCACGTGAAATATGCATCACATGAGTAGCATCAACTGAAAGAGGAGACTATAAGCTTTCCAAATATGTATCATTCATTAATTATGGTTTTGATTAAGTTATGATAAAACATCGATACTTCTCGGTTTCGTTTTTTCTGGGACGCACTGTATAACCAATTAATGGGTGAATAAGGCATTCAAAAAATAAATCCATGTGTAAATGAATTGCAACTGCACACAACAAAGGCCCAATTGGTATTCATTGAGCTCTGTGTTATAATCAGATAGAGAAATGTGAAGAGTATTAATAAGGCACAATAAGAAACAAGATGAATACGACTTCCCATGTATGTATGCATGTTCATGGATGAGTGATCCTGTGACATCTGACCTCACGAACCCAAAGTTCTTATTTAATCTGTTCTTGTTTGTACATACTTGAGCCCAGTCTAGTCAACATTAGTTCAATACCATCTATAACTTTATTTGGAAAAATGCATATAAACGAATGGACTTGAATAACGGTCAGCGCGCGCTAGCGTTCGCGAAACAGACAAAGTTCTCGTCACGCTTCGGATTCGCGTATGTTGCATGCACGTGAATACTGTGGTCGCGTCGACGGAATCGTTTTTATACCCAATTGGCCCCGAGTCACGCCACAGGAAAGACACATAGTCTCGTCATGCTACACCCCCTTTAAGTTATCACAGTAACACAACATTTTTATGACCCTATGATCTTTCATCTTTGACCTCTTACACCCAAAATCTAATCAGTTCATCCCTGCATGTTCATTCATATTTCATCCAAGTCTGGTTTGAATTGCTTCAATACTTTTCAAGTAATTGTGGTAATAAAGTATTTTCTGGCATGCTTCAACACTTTCATGACCCTGTGACCTTTTACCTTTTCTGTCCAAAATCTAATCAGTTCATCTTTGCATGCTCATACCCACTTGATTGAAGTTTGGTCAAAATCTGCTCAATGGTTCTTTATTTACCGCGCAAACGAAAAGACGGACGGAGGACCAACCGAAAACATAATCCCTCTGGCACCGCCTTCGGTGATGGAGGCATTAAAAAGTTACCTCGTTATATCTGAAAGGCCTAAATAAAATACTGATACATACTGAAAGTTAGCTGACAAGCAGCTAATTAGGGGTCTTGAGTGTATGGGCCCAAGTTTTTTTTTTAAATTTAATTTAATTACAAGGCCGAACTGTAAACTTTCTATAAATTCTCGTTATTTGGCAAGAAAGATCTTACGCACGTGAGCTCCAGTCTGACAAAAAAAAAAAATAATAAAAAAAATTGGGACGTACCAATCAGGATTCCTTTGGATAGTTTTCCCAGCATGCAAGAGAAGGATGATGGCAAAGATGACACCAACGACATACTTCATGGGCCTTCTATGGAGATAATTTTGTTTTGTTTTTAACCAACAAAATATATATTGCACTTACTCCTCATTATACTATTAAATGTGTCACAGTTTACCAAACTAAATATGCAATAATGATAATGGAAATTAGGATGAAGAGTTGTGAAAAACTTATAACAGCTTCACAAAAATATTACTAATTACTAATTAAACTAGATGGATCTTCCGCAATAGAGCGATTTAACAAACCACAACAGAAGCAATTTTTCAAAGTTTGATTGTAATCAATTAACAGGTTCTCGGAATATAGTGATTACAAGCTATTGAAATCCATTAACAGGTTCTCAGAATATTGTGATTACAAGCTATTTTTCATATACATGTACACGTATGACCCCTTTGATCTTTGACCTCATGACCCTAAAATCTAATCAATTCATTCATTGGCTGTGCCAGATACATACATGTCCTGAGTTTGACAGTAATCCATCCATCGGTTCTAATGATAATGGGTTCACAAGCTATTTTTGTATACATAATGAGCCCAATGACCTTTGACCTCATGACCCCCAAATTCTACTCACAGCCTTTTCACACACAGCTAAAATTCTATAAACATGATTAGTTTAAAGGGCTTTAAACTAATCAGCTGTACATACGACATCATTCACACACAGAAATTTCGGTGCGATCGTTAATCGTTTCGTGATTAACTACTGCTCTTAAAATGCGCAGTAGTGCCATTGCGCATTGAAGGTCAGGTCATATCAAACAAAGCACACGCTCCATCCAGTTTAAACACGTTTAAACCGTTCACACACAAAATGTCAAGCTTTCTAGATACGAACTTCGTATCTGCAGCCTGCTTTGAGGGGCGTATCTCTCCGAACATCGTATAAACGATGTTCACACAGGGAAAATTTTCTTTAAAGGTGTTTAAAACTGTTGAGTTAAACATGTTTATACTAATCATCTCTAGATACGATGAATTTAGCTGTGTGTGAAAAGGCTGTCAGTTCATTAGCTCTGTAAGATACATACATGACCCAATTTATAGCAGAGCCATACAAATTAAAATATAGCATAGGGGAAACTTATCAGTACTTTTTCTATACAAACACCAAAAAGTTCCAGTCATGAAAAGGGTTCCAGTGACCAGAAGGGAATACTTGCAAGAAAATTGATTGAATCAGTATCCTACCTATTTGCTTGTAACCTCTCCATCGCTATGGCAACAAGCAAACAGTATCCCATACTAGGAGTGTAGAGCACCCTCTCGGCAACAACGAACCCAACTGGGAAAAACAAGTTACTAGCTGGCAAGAATGGCAGGACAAGAAATGACAAAGCCTGTAAAATAATGTTTGAAGCAGACAGAGATAGGAGAGATACATGTATCAATGAAAACCAAGCATTTTAAATACTTTAAGGCACAAGACATAGAGTCTTCAAGTTCAACAACATCCCATTGAAATGCTTGCATTAAGTTTAATACGCGTTGCAACGGGATGTCGGTGAAGTTGTACTTATGACGGTTTTGTGAGACGCTGTCCTGGTAGACTGTATAGGACCCGTGCTGTAAAGTACTAAAGGCAAAGGAATAACATGATGAACATGCAGACTATTAGTATGTCTTCATCTAAATTACATTTCTGTATCTCATCGACACACATGTGCTTGTGCTTAGGGACCTTTTTTACAAGAAGATTATTTCCTGATCCCAACTCCTATTCATGTATACATATATACACCAGAGGTTTACAAGGAAAAGCGCAAACAAGGATTAAAGGTAGTTCCTTTTTGGCTAGCTTTGTGACCAACAACTATAAGATGGTTGCCATGACATCTGAATAATCTAAAGTCAAACATTACAGCATACAGAATATGACCTTTGACCTTCAAACCAATATCTTACTAGTTTTATCCTTTCATGCGCTTCTACATAGCCTAGGCGTATTTGAACCAAATTTTGGATAACATCCCTTAGACTGTTCTGCAATGAAGTTACTAGAGTAACCCAATAATTTCAGACATAACAATGCATCCAAGTTACTTTATAGTACAGTGGCGACCACAAAAAGATGGAAAACCTCCAAATGATTATAATGCATCTCCACACTTCTAAGTGGAGACATTAAAAATTGAAGAAATCAAATATAGAAATTGAATTTACCATTATAAGTTGGCATGAAATTTTCTCTTCTGCAAATACTGCATACAGCACCAGTAGAAAGAGGCAGGTCACCAGTAAAAGGGTTGCCAGGTTACGAGGGTCACTGAGAGAGGTCACCAGTGGGATGGTTCCCATCGTCCAATCACAGAGCAATGTTGAGGGACAGAGGAGGAGCCAAGCGTTGACTGGCAGAAGGTATAAGTGGGTCAGGCGACGAGTTTGGAAGGGCGACAGGGCAGCTGGGTTATCAAATCTTGGTATAGAAATTGAAAATACCAGGAATTTGATAGGGTGTGTGACATGAAAGATGGAACAAAAATTACAGACAAATGCGTCAATGCTAAGATTACGTTAAAGTATGGTCCCATCCAATGTTTTTCCTTAACAGTCTAATAATAATAATAATAATCTTTTAAAGTCCACTCCAAATTCTATTAAGTTAAACCGAAAACGGAAATTCTGTTTGCCCAATATTATTGATCTTGAGCCCGGCAGCCAGATCGACGTTGCTCTATCCCTTATTGTTGAACGCCAAACAAGGTAGCAGCAACTCCCGTCTTTTAACGTCTTTTGGTATGACGCGGCCGGGGTTCGAACCCACGCCTCCCGGGTGTGAGGCGGACGCTCTACTGACTGAGCCAACACACATTGTCTAAACCGTGTAAAAGAATAAAGAACGCCATCCCATAAATGGTATTTAAATTTATAAACTTATCTCCATTTACTCCTGTATTATTTCATAGATCAACCATACTATATCGTTTGTTGGTTGTCGGTATAAGTGAGGGAACATGGGGGTCCTGCTACAGCACACTCATTCAGAACATGCTCAACAGTCTGAATCTGACCACATGGACACAGGTCAGAGTCTTTGAGACCCCAAGGGGAGTGTTTCACACAGACTAAGATCGACTTTAAGTTGGACTTAACTATGGCAGGCTGTTCATGTCACTGTTTGCTCTCACCATTTACTGGCATTGGTTACTCGAGGGACGTACAAATCGTGGTCACAAATCTACAGAATGTATATTGATAAAGTTGATAGTTCATTATTGAAGGAAAAAATAGTATCTAAAGATCATACTTGAGATCGAGACCAATGGTGAGAGCAACCAGTGGCATGAACAGCCTGCCATAGTTAAGTACAACTCAAAGTCGATCTTAGTCTTTGTGAAACACCCCCAGAGCTTCATGCTAGCTGCATTTACTCCTGTCAAGAGTACTTATGGGAGAACTAGGTAATTTCCAACACTATCTGAATTCCTAAATTCAACCCTAGAAGACATACTATACCTACCCCTAACCGTGACCAACTACCCAAATTGTAACCATAACTTTATATTTTTGACAAGCTAAAGCCTAGGGACATTATTGCCAAAGCAAATGTTGTGTCACTTCATTGTTACCTGTCAAAGGAGGGCAACTTTGCCCCCATGATGATCATCCGTCCCCATAGTAACAGCCCCGACGATGCTATCAGGAATCCCAACCTAGGAGCAGCCCTCCACAAAGCCTGAGAGTTTGGTGATGAGCTCCGTGATGTCTTTGAACCTCTCGATGTGGGATGCTGCATAAATGCCTTATGTGAGAACTGGACATACAAATATAAAAAGTTACGAATAAAAGAAAGATTAAGCGAGAACTTACCATTTGAAGTTTGATCTTTATTATGAGAGTGTCAGGGAAGAGATTACATGAGATCCCGCCCTTCGCGCATGCGCACATACTTCGAAGCACCCAATGTGACTGCTAAACCCATAGAAAGATGAATGGTATGGTATGGTATTTATTTCATTCTTCATAAAAAACATATACAGTATATACAGAGTATTTAAAAAAGAAAAGAAATTTGAAATACATAAATGCATGTAGAAGGGTAACATTATAGATGATATGAATACAATAACATTAAAAAGGAAATTAGTTAAGAAAGCAAATTTATGTCGAATGAGGGGTCAACAACCAAATAAAAGAGCATTTAGCCTTGTTGAACGTTGACCCCTACAGAAAGTACGTAATTAACATCACATTAAGAAGAAAAAGAAAGCAGGTGGAAACAGTAAAAGGGAAAAGGAATACATAATACAAAAAATATATATACAAATATATACGTCATAAATCAAATATGATATTCAAGTTGTTGAATACAAATTTAATAAAAACAATCGAAAGGAACGTTTAAAACTATTTACGGAAGGTTGAGTATTTAGATGGTTAGGAATCGTGCTCCATAGATGAGGACCTTTATAAAAAAAAGTATTCTTTAAAATATTAGTTCTAACTTTTGGCAGATGGTATTCTACAGCATTACGTGTATTATAATTATGTATATTACTATTTAAAACAAATTTTGATGTAATTGGAGCTGGTAATAAACCTCTAGAACACATAAACATAAATACTGCAATTAATGTCATAAACGTTTAGGAGATTTAACTGGGAAAAGATTGGCAAGGTATGAGCATGATATGGTGAATTAGAAATTATCCGTTAAGCTTTTTTCTGCAAAACAAATAGTTTAGTAATAAAGTAATCATGACTGTTTGACTAAGCAATATTACAATAACTGACATGGGAGAAAATCAATGCATCATATAACATAACTAAAATATGTCTTGGAAAATGTCTCAAACGGTAAATAATACCAACAGCTTTGGCAACACGATTGCATACGACACCAACGTGTTCATGCCATGTTAAAGATTCATCGATATGAACACCTAAACATTTCACACAAGAAGTACGATTAATTTGATGACCATAAAAAGTGATTGCAAAATTATTTTCAATACGTCGTTTAGTGAATACAATATATTGGGTTTTAGCAACATTAAAAACTAGTTTATTGTTGATCAACCATTCAATTAATTAGCAGCCTTGGAGGCAAGGCCCTTTCGACCCTCCCCCCGATCTCCTTCTTTCCCCCTTTCTTCTCTGCTTCCACTTCTTTCTTTCCCTTTCTCTCCTCTCTCCCTTTCCCTTCTTTTCGTTTGCTCTCTCTCTTTATGGGCGAGGGAGGGGGGGGGGGGGGCAAGGCCCCCTGCCCCCTACCCCAGATCCGCGCCTACTGCTGTCCTCAGACCATTAGGTCTCTCTCTCTCTCTAAGTGCCATATCGTTTGACTTTGGCCATCATGCTGTTCCACAACCCTCGGCTCCTAGCCTTCTGTATTAGTACCACTCCTAATTCTTTCACTCCTCTCTCTTCCAACAATTTCTGCAGACTGTCCATCCAAAGTATCCTCCTTCTTCCCCTACTTCTTCTTCCCACAATTTTCCCTGTCAAAGCAAGATTCTCTAGGCCTTCTTTACGTGTAATGTGACCCATGAACTTCAACTGCCTAATCAACATCTCACGTATCAATTTCCTTTGCACTCCAGCTCGTGTAAGAATTTCCTCATTACTAACCTTGTCAGTCCAGGGAATTTTCATCATTCTTCTTATAAAACACATTTCGCAACTTTCCAAACGCTTTTTAGTATCAGAGGCTAAAGTCCATGTTTCACTACCATACATAAGTACTGGGTAGATGTAACAATTTAATACTCTTTATCTGGTCCTCATACTCATTGTTCGATTTGTCAGAAGTTTGCCTAACTTTGAAAATGCAGATTTAGCGAGAGCTATCCTTCTCTTGATCTCTGTCTCACATCTGGCATCCTCGGTGATCATGCTGCCGAGGTAGTTAAATGAGGAGACTAATTTGTTTAATAATCTGTTCTTTCAGTTTCAAGTTACATTTTGGACTGCTCTCTTGGATACCACCAGGCACTTTGTCTTGGTATAGTTGATCTCTAGTCCCATTCTCTCACTTTCTTTTACAACTACATACAGGAGTCTCTGGAGATCTTTCTCTGATTTAGAAAATAAAACAGTGTCATCAGCATATCTAATATTTGTGATTGAATGGCCACCCACTTGTATCCCATTTTCATCCTCCAATTTTCTTAGAATGATTACACTATACATTTTGAACAGGTCCGGCGACATAACACAACCCTGTCTGACTCCCCGTCTGATGTTAATATATTCACTACACTCTCCTTCTACCCTGATGCATAAAAATGATTCCAATATAGACTTTGTCGCAGTCTTAGATCTGTCCAATATATATCAAGCTTTTTCAGCTCTTCTAAAAGTTCTGAATGTTTTACTTTATCAAAAGCCTTTGAATAATCAATAAAAAACATGTACACATCCTTTTGCATTTCGACTGCTCTCTCCGTTATATTTCTAACCACAAATATTGCATTTCTTGTGCCCGCATCCTTTACGAAACCAAATTATGCCCTTCTTGCTCTCAAAAGCAAAATCCTCAAAATAATCTTAGTGATATGGCAAATAAGGCTGATTGTTCTATATTGCTCACAATCCACGGATCCCGGTTTCTTTGGGAGAGTAATGAAAATGGATCTGCCCAATTCATCTGGAAATGTTCCGTCATCATTATATTTTGTTGATAATTTCTGTTAATCTATCAACACCATATTCCTCTAATGCTTCAAACATTTCAGTGACCACACCATCTGGTCCAGCTGCTTTGTTCTTCTTCATCTTTGACATTGCCCAACGGACTTCAAATTTAAGAATTTTCTCCCCTTTGACTTCATCTACAAAACTCGGAATTGCTTCCCTACTATCTTCAAAAAGTTCGCCAATGTATTGCGTCCACCTAATCATTTTGTCCTTCATTTCAAATAGGATTGACCCATCTTTTCCTTTGATACAGCCAGGGTTTGAACAACCAGACTTTTTACCTGAAATTTCATTTATTCTTTGGCGTTCAGGTCTCCCATGACAATGTCATTTGATTTGCACTGAGATTTATCTTTATCTAAGGAATCGTAAAAGGTGTCAATAACTTCGTCAGCACTATCTGATGCCGTTGGTGCATAAATCACTATGATTGAGATGTTAAAAGGGTGTCCCTGTAATTTCACTAGGAGCACCCTATCACTTACACACCAGTGTCCCAACACACTCTTTGAGATATCTTGATCCAGCAGTAACCCCACACCTCTTTCATGCTTTTCACCTCCTGCAGAAATCAATCTGTACTCATCTATCACAAACTCGCCGTTATTCAGCCATCTTGTTTCATTTAGTCCCTATATGTTGACATTTAGCCTCATCATCTCTTGTTTAACATTTTCCAGCTTGCCGCTCTGATACAGTGTTCTCACATTCCATGTTCCAACTCTGATGGTATTCCCATTGCGAACAGTAGCTGGCTGACGGTCGGGGCCCACCTGTCGCCCATGGGACACCCTACCGGGCGAGGTGCTTGTCCCTTGAGGTTGACGAGCCCCCTTCACGCCTTTGTCTTTTGCTTTAGAGTTGTGGTTCATCATGATTGTTCTTGGAATAATAGTGAAGTGGTTTTCCGTTGCCTTCTTCACCGCAGTATGTAGCCGTATCTGGGGTTATCCAGCACGCCGCCAGGCATTATCAGAGGTTCACCGTTGTCCTAAAAGGATCTTCTGCCGAAACACTCCTACTCCATCGCTGCTGCCCAATGCAGAGCAAGCTATAGGCTTATTTAAATGCGGCCTAAACGTTTTAGGAGATATGCAAGTTTGTATTGGTCCGACTCGTGCCACCCAGTACCACCACCAGCCCCCCTGATGCTGAATGGTCCCCTTTTAGTCGCATTTTACGACACGCAGAGGATACGTGGGGGTATTCTTGACAGGCCCCACCCCAGGTAGGGCTTTAAATTACCAGCCTTTGTCTTGTCATTCGAATCTCAAGAATTCCTTGTGATAATACTCCAGATTATCTATTACGTTTCAGTAAGACAAAATTCTAGAATTTTGTTAAAATATGTTGCCTGTAATTATTGTACAGGATATGTACAGGATATGTAGGCTTTTAGACAGCGTGGTTTTTGTGTCCTTCTTCCTTCTTTTTAATTGTATATTTTTGTTTCTGTTTGTTCTTGTGTTCGTAGCTTCCCTGGAAAGGGCTAAGGGTCAAAGGAATTCCTTATTCCTTTCTTCCTTCAAGGCAACTTCAGGAAATACAGCAGAGAAAGTTGAATCTTTTGTTCTTAGATTAAATCTCATGTCTTCTCTGTATTGTATCTTTTGATCACATATTCAATAATAATAATAATAATCATAACAATAATAATAGTAATAATAGTAATAATAATAATTATAATAATAATAATAATAATAATAATAATAGCAATAATAATAATAATAATAATAATGGAAAAAGTGTCATCTGATGCAATTTTACACTATTCTTCACATACCTTCTGTACATAAAATATTTCATAGATGCAGCATATGCCAGCCACAGTAATGCCCTGTTCTTTAGAAGCGGTTGCCATGACGATGAGCAATGCCGACCAGCTCATGTACTTCCAGTCTGTTAAAACACAAATTAAAGGCCCAAGAGTAAAAATTATTAAAAATTTAATTGGCAACATATATAATAACCAAGATATGACTGATGTAAGCTATAATGAGAAGATTGGGATTGGGAAGAAAACTGTGAGTCTGGTCTCAGCGATTAATTAATGACTGTTATTTTGATTTTGATTTGATTTATTGGTTTCTGCATCTTTTATTTTTCTTTTTTCATCATACATTTTCATGAACATAATATGGTTTGATACGATATTTTAAGTGTATATTACTTTATACAGATAATAAAAGAAATTAAACAAATATTGTGATTGCGTAATTAACATAAATTATACGCACGAGGGCTACAGAAATAAGCAAAGTAGCTTGACGTGCCCGCAGCCCTCAACTTACATACAACAATATAAAAAAAAAAAAAAAAAAAAGAGTGACTTGCAGAGAAGAAAAGGAAAGGGGAGAGAAGGAGCGTTGGTAATAATACAATAAATCTCATACATCTGCTGATTGAATGTAGGTTCATTCATGGATGGATAAACGATGCTAGGTCATGGACGATTACACATCATTGTTGAATGTACACTGTATACCCCCACAAACATTTCTTAATCAATATAATGATTCACAACAAATGCCCAGGCACAGGATATTATTATGAAGACAGAAATTATATTGTAAAAATCATTAAAAACCAGACCCTTTTACGTAATTAAACATATATTTTGCAAGCAGTTCCAAAAGGTTTCATGCCACTTGTAAAATAATTGAATTGCAAATGACACAACACTGAATTCTCACAATTCACCAAAGTTTCTGTGCCATGATAACGGACGTCGTTTACAATTCTCAAAAGTTTCTGGCTTAAAATTAATCTTGTGAACAACAAAAAATAGATAACATGAAAAACTTACCCGTGGTGCTATTGGCCTCGGCTGCTTTGACGTAAGCCATGAACGATAGTAGCATGAAGATAGAGGACAGTAGTTCAGCTCTTCCGACCACTCCAGTAACCTACATGTACATAGAAATGCAAAGAATAAAATATGATTATTGATTTACAATCGAATGAAAAAAACACAGGCCTGTCAGATCGAGTAAATAGGTGAACGTCAAAAGATGATGACCTTCATTTTGCCTGTCAGAAAATTTTGGTTTATTAGCACAACTTAAGCTTTTAAAAAATATGAATTATTTTCCTATGGTGATACATAGTCGTAACTAGATTGAAGTTTGTACCTCGATCAAGTGGTTCTTCACATATCGGGCGATAATGATATACTAAAACATGTATTTCCCTCCATAAATTGACCTCTATGACCTTTGGCCTTTGGCCTACTTATTCTGAATTCTATAATCACATTGTCATCCTATGATATTACTATCACCAGGTTTGAAGCCCATACCTTTAATGGTTCTTGAGATATCACGACAACACGGCTAATATTGGTATCTGAAATTTCAGAAATCGACCTCAATCTATATGTATGACCTTTTACCTTTCACCTATACGTACCCTGAAATTTGAAAAATCGTGCCGACCAATATTTCACTCAGTGGGGGGCGGCAGTGAGCACTATTTTTTTTTCATTTGAAAAAAAGTACCAACCAAACTCCCCCCCCCCCCCTAGATCCGCCCCCAACGCGAACGGCTCTTCGGTGGGTTTTTTCTTCCGATTATTGTTTCTGAACTATAACAACATGAATATGGATATAACATGAATTGTTTTAAAACTTGATGATAATTTGTTGAAATTTAATAAAAAGCCGTTTTGTTGCTTGGTCGGGACAAGTTGTGCTAGTCGTGTAGTCCCGTCTGTACTGTATTGCGTGGCAGGGAATAGGCCATTTTCGTAATGTAATCAAATTTAATAAATAAGTCTTTGTGAAGTTCCTCAATACAAATTATTTCATTAACCTGTCTAGTATTCGCAATAGTCAGAATGCAAACTACATGTATTAAGTGTGGCAACAACTAATGTATGCAGATTTAAAGATACTATGTCCCTTTTGCAGCTAACATCAAATTATGTAGAACTTTGCATGAATTATGAATATGTCATGTATGTCCTATCTGTGAAATTTAAACCTTAGCAGTGTCTAATATTCAAATTATGCGAGGAAACCTGTTTACTTGCTAGACTTCACTGTCAGACACTATTGAGTGAGTGACTGGCTTTTTTTCTTCTTGGTAATAACATACATAAAATGAGCTGTAAAGGGTACATAGGCATTTGTCTACACCAATAACCCACTTCTTGTAATGGCCAAAATTAAACTGATTGAATCTTTGCGCAGCATAAAACGTACGACTATTCGGTAAAATGGTCTGAACTAATAGATGTTATTTTCCCACTTAAAGACATTTTCAAGCCTCCCTTTTTTACGGAAGTTCTAAATTAGTATTATCTTTCAAATGCCGTTGGAATTTAACCTTTTCATATTTCAAATACAATTATTCTTATCAGGTGAATAAATTAGTTTGTATCGAGGCACTTAATTCACTTGGGGCGTCATTGAGAACGCCCATAGATTAGGCCGAAACCCGTTCTGGATTTCAGTACCTCAGCGGTCGCCCCGATTTTACTATAGTTGCTTCTAGATTTTACACACGAACCGCAGATTCTCCGTCCGCAATGAGTTTGCGAAAACTCCCTTATATCACCAGGTTTGAAGCCCATAAAACCAGTAGACTGTAATGGTTTTTGACAGAAGGCGATAACGTGACCATACCTCGAGTGGTCCTTGAGATATTGCGTTAATGAGAGAGCGGGACGAAGGACTAGCCGAATTTTTTTTCATGTCCTCTTACCGAGGTGTTTATTTCACATATTTCACATTTCATATATATTTACATCAATTTACATTTTAACATGATAAAAAAGACAAAAGTAATTAAATAAATAGTTATAACCTTCACATTTCTTGAAAAATTTCTTTGTGTTTCGTCAATAAAAAACGTTGTTTATTTGCTATGTAATATCGTAGTTTTAATTTGAAATTAATGAACAGACTTTTACTTGTAATCTTAACCACCACACCAAAGTTTGATATACATTATGCATATTATGTATTGTCCTAAAATTAACATGAAGTTTATCACAAAGTTTTCCTTTTTTCAATAAAATAACCAATAACTAATACTTTTTCATTAATATTTATTTGTTCATGAAAGTAATTATAATATAAGTTTTCACCAATTTTCCAAAAAACTGTAACCTTGTTACATTTTAACAAGACATGAAAAGTAGTTTCTGTTTCTTTACATATATCACACAAGACATTTTTCATTATACACCATCTGCATAAATTATATTTTGATGGAAATATATTATGCAATATTTAAAAAAAAATTAACTTGCTTTATCCTATTATTTCCCATTTGTTGAAATTTAAATGGAATACACTCTGTCAATTGAAAGAAACAGGTAAGTTCAAGTAATATTGCCAGTAACGTGTAACATTTGGTTTTTGAAGTTTGAAGGAGGGATAAATAACAACGTTTCGTCTTGAAACGAGATATATCAACAAAATCTCCTGTAGCTATGTCGATTAAATTTGAATCGTTTTGTTTACTACTTAATTGAACATTCTTTAGAACGTATAATTTATTTAACCAATAGCATGGGAAATATTTCTTCAATTTTGCGTATTCGAACTCAAATAATAATTGATGATACCAACTTTACTATTTAACAGAATCGAGTCTTTCCAACTACCATTTGTAATCACGTGCTTTGAAAACAATAATGTAGAATTTTTAAATCTAATATGACTGTTTGTCCATAATATCTCCTCTTCTATTTCTGTTACATCAACTAAAACTCGATATTTAAATTCTGACCATGCAACAAGAAGATTTTGATAAAACTCTGACAGTCCATTTTGTATGCACAGAATTTTCATATCTTTCTTATTCAAATTATATCGTAAAATATCTGGAAAAATTCCAATCCTGTCAATCCAATATTTGAATAATGATTTCCATCTACAAGTTTGTTCATCCAACAATTTGCTTATCCAAGATGAATACAAAGAATTTGTTTTTGATTCCATGTCTACCATATCAAGACCACCATCTAGCTGTTTATTTATACAGACATTTCTTTTCACTCTTTCTCTTTTTGAACTCCAAAGAAAAGCATATACACTTTATTCAATGATTTTATAACAACTTTAGGAGCAGGTACTACAGTTGCCGTATAAACAATTTTTGAAACGATTAAGGCTCTAATGACAACCACCTTACCATAAACGTTGATATACTCTGTTTCCAGTTTTTCAATATATTTAGAATTTTTTTCGATTTTTTTTTTTCATCCCAAATTAAATATCATTTTCCCTTTTTTTTCCCGATATATATTCCCAAATATTTTATTGGTTGTTCAGTACTTTCCCCACATTCTCCATTTGCATAATCTGTATTGATCTTCATTACTTTAGTCTTATCCCAATTTACATGAGGTCCTGACACCGCTCCAAAATTTCTGACCTCTTCCTTCACCTTAATCAATGATTTTGAACTATTTACAAAAGTGGTTGTGTCATCTGCGAATTATAATACTTTTAATTCGGACAATACAGAACCTAATAAATCAATTCCTTTTATATCTTCGTTTTGTCGGATCTTACATGCTGGATATTCAGCTACAATAACGAAAGTAAAGAATACAATGGACATCCATGTCTTACCTCTTGCTCAATAAAGAAACACTTCGACTTCCATCCGTAATTCATCACCTTTCCCTTTGCATCACTATACAAATTTGAACCCATTTAATAAAACCTTCCTGAAAGTAGATATTCATTGATTTTAAAAACTAACTTTATTTTCATTATTGCAAAGTTGAAACTTTGATTCGACAAGCTTATCAAAATTCAATGCTTGGAAACATTCGCAGTAATGATTATTTAAAATTACAAAACGCCTAAATACAGCCCCGGCATAGCACCTGAAGAGCTCTCCGAACGCTGCTGAGATGTGTGAGATCACAGGATGGACATGATTTGCACAAGCAGACGATGTCCCATGACATCTCACACACTTTCAGTGCCTGTGGTCTCTTGAGTTCTTTCTCTTACTTCACTACCGTCAGGCTAAATGTATAATCTATTGCCTCACTCTAAACCCCGCGCATGGTTTTATTTTGATGACAAATGCAGCGATACAAAAATAAAGGCATCTGTCGCTTGTAAACAAAATAAGACGCCATTGTATATTCAGCTTTACACACCGCGGTATGTTTGGCGTTTCAAGAGGGAACAAATTCCGTCCTTAATATCATTCCGGGTTTTTTTCAATTTGAAAGTCTGGTTTCTTTGATTGTTAATTAACCCCTATACTGTGTATTTACAAAAAAAAGATTTTAGTTATCAGAATCGGTTTCATATTGAAATGCCATCACATTTATATACACTAAACTCATTATAATTTGAGAAATATATGTTCATTCTTTATGGGATGTCGTCTGCTCGGACAGTATTGGTCCATTATGTGACGTCATTAAAACATCATTATTTTTCTGGCGAATCTCTCGTATATCCGAGATGCTATGGAGGGGGTTGTATTTGTATTTTTATAAATCACCCGATATGTAGTTGACCTAAAACTTGTATGATGGCCATCTGTTAGCTTTCTAGTGATACATTAGTTGACATATTTGTGATTTTCTTCGAATTTCCACTTTAAATTGAAACTTCTTTAAAGCGCGTAGTAAAAATGAGTGGCTAACATTGTCGTATGCTTTTTTGAAATCTAGAAACATGATAATACGAGGCAACTTCTTATCTAAACAATAATCAACAACATCCTGAGGTCAGTCTGACATTTTCTGTTGCTGACCTTTTTTTTAATAAAGCCGGTCTGATCCGTGGAAATGATACCATCTATAACATTTTGTAATCGTTTTGATAAAAATTGTCACATAATTTATAATCTACGTTTAAGAGAGATATAGGTCTCCAATTATCTAAAATTCTTTTATTTTCTTTTTTATACAACAATGTTAAAACAGCTTGCCTGGACTTCCCGGAAATATAATGCATCCGGCATCACCTTCGGTGGGCGTTGGTGGAGGCAAGAAAATGCTTGAAAGAAGTAGACCCTATCACGCACTTCAGTGTAAATAACACCTAGGGGTGTTTAATAAAGCTGGGGGGGGGGCGTTTCATGAAACAATTAGTCGGTGGTTTTCACCCACTAATATCATGTTCACCGACAATTTAGTCAGCGCTGACTAAATTTGACCGATCACAGTCCTAGAAAAAAGTCGGTGACAAAAGAATTGTGGATAGGAAAAGTTTTAAAAGGAAGTTTAAAATCATTGTGTTACAGCTAAATTTACAGATTTCTCTTGTAAATTACTTCTAATTTTTTATTGAAGACTACATATACGTTCATATGTATGCCACAACTGCACATGCATTTCCATGATTTTAAGCGACTCAGCTTCTTTTGCGCAGGCATTTTTTTAGAGTTCCAGGCATAGTTCTGTTTTTTTTTATGGCTGACTTGCGGCGGTCGTGATGAGATCAAAGCTTGGAAGCATGATACTTTTGACAGAGTCAGGTACATGCATGTATTATGGTACCGTTCAATGTCCATATGTAGTAGGTCCATTATTAAAAGATTTCGCTTTCACTGGCTGCCTGCCGTAGCAATAAACAAAATTGACAAAAGATTTAACTTTGTTTCGTTGAAGATCAGCCATAGAAAAAAAAGACCTCATGCATGGTTGATTGTCAACGAAACGGTGTTAAGTCTTTTGTCAATTCTGTTTGTTGCTACGGCAGGCTACTAGGGGAAAAGAATTCGTTTGATGAAATTATGGAAATGCAAGCATTACTTTAAACAAACAGAAGTTTTTATTCATAGCTCATTTTTCCTGATTAAGGTGTCATACTAAAGGGCAGAAAATGAACTTTCTATAAATGTGATTTTATCTTTAATATTCAGATACCGTCCGCCAAATGACTTTTGGTATCATTTCTTTAAATTTATTTTGATCACTCATGCGTGAAATATGCATCATGCTAGATAAAATATCGATAATTCTCGGTTTTGTTTTTTTACAAATTTATAGATTTAAAGCTTATCTGCCATAGTTTACAGGAGGGATTAGACCGCCCCACAAGGTCAATGGACAGGTGGTTATCTCATCAACTAAGCTCTCAGTTAACATAAGAAAAAGAGGATCATGGGGGACCAATGGTCACCGATTAGGCATTGTTTGTTGTATAGAGGGCGCAAGTAGCTTAAGTAGTGCAGTGGGCCTTTAAGAGGAAGTTGCATTTATCGACTTTCAGTATTGACACTAAAAACTTATTGAAGTCAAGAAATGTAGCTTCCTTTTAAATCTTTAAATTTGTAAGTCTGTAATCAGGAGATTCATGTATTAAATTCATTGTTTTACTTGATTTTCATTGATGGCATTAATCATAACGAGACGAGTGCGATATTTAACATTCAGAAATGATGCCAAAAACTTGAATGCTGATTCACTGTGATTCAAACTGATTTTGGAAATTAAAGTCCACAAATTATGTTACTGATATTAAGCACTCAGAATTGATGCCAAAAAATAGAATGCTGATTATGATGATGCGATGTAAAGTAACACTGTTTTAAAATTGAAATTTTTAATATCATGTATAATGAGAGAACTCTGAGTTTTTCACTGTGATTCAACTGATTTTGGAAATTAAAGTCTACAAATTATGTTACTGATATTTAACATTCAGAATTGATGCCAAAAACTTGAATCACTGATTATGATGATGCGATGTAAAGTAACATTGTTATAAAATTGAAATTTTTAAACTACATACTTTTTAATATCATGTATGATGAGAGAACTCTGAGTTTTCACTGTGGTTTAAACTGATTTTGGAAATTAAAATCCACAAATCATGTTACTGAATTTAAAATGTCGTGGATTTTATGTTATTTGCATAGTGTGTGAGTGAAGAACTTCAAATCAATGCTAAATTTAGAAATCAGGCAAAATTATCATGGTTTATATTCTTTATTGACAAATAATGGTTACTTAACAGCTGTTAAACAAAGAACAATATTGATCAGCGGTTTAGTTAAACCCTTAGTCCAAAAGTTACAACCCTAGTTGAATCCACCTTTGTTTTAATCAATATTGAGTAAAAACATGTACTTAATAACTTAGTACATATTTTTACTCAATATTCATTGAGCAACTAAGCGTTACCCAGAAAATATCATACTCAATATTTGAGCAAAAAATTGCTCAAACAAAATATGTACTCGTTAATTGAGTAATATTTTTACTCAACAGATGAGTAATATTTTTACTCAACAGATGAGTAGATTTGTTACTCAACACAAGCTGAGTAAAGTTTACTCAAAAGTTGAGCGGTTCCCTTTTGACTACTTAAAAGAGTACAATTTTACTCAACATTGAGCAGTTTTCATTTAGAGTGTATATAATAAGAAAGTTATGGATTTTTGAAAATGTATGTAAAATTATGGAACAATGAGAATCATAACACAAATTGCCAAGATGGTTATCAGTTTGTGACGTCATGTCCTCACTATTTATCAATTGCTCTATATGGTTTAATCCCATTAATTTCCCTTTTTATTCTCCAAAACTTGATTTCCCCATGCCTTTGCCCAAGTTATATGATTTGTATCATATTGCGTGCGTGACATTTCACAATTTTTTTTTATGAACTTTGAAGAATTTGTACTATTTTTTCTGAATATTGTATATTCATAATTATTGATTTTTATATAAATAGTTTATCAAAATTCAAATTTTTCATGATTTTAGCTGGAAAAAATTACTCTATATTAGTGCATCCACACAAAAACATATCATATTACTATTAATCAAACTTGGATGCTGGTGTGAAGAAATAAGATTCTTAAGGAGAAAATAGGAAATTTATGATATCAATATAAAGAAAATAATTAGTGGATAGTGAGGACATGACGTCACAGGCTCATGAGTGAGTTGCCGATTTGTTTAGTGATTTCAGAGTTTTTAATGTCAAAAATTCATAACTTTGTTATTAGTTATCCGATTTTGCTCGGACTTTTTTTGATAGGTTAGTCTGATTTTTTTGCTTCTATTGAAAGTAAGTTATTTTTGGAGTGGACTTGGGATTTAAGTTCGCCTTAGGATCTTTGAGAAACACCCCTCAGGCGAGAGGATCGAAAGGCGAGAAACATGAAGATCCATCCCTCAGAAAAATTAATTTATGGAATGACCCAAAATAATTTTTTGCAAACAGTACCTTGCTGCAAAAGGGGGCCGTAGGTTTCGAAATTATACACATCACTCGGCGAATCTGGTCAGGTTAATCAAAGGGAAGCTTTTGGAGTTTCATGTTGTGAAAGATTCTTGTTTTAAAGAATGATTAACATACCGCTTCAGTGTGAACTGCATGTACAGCAAAGAGAAGTGATGCGTTGACACTGCTCTCTTCATCAATGATCTTTTTAGCCGCTTTCAAGAAGAGGACGCACACCGCCCAGTGCAGCACCACGTTGAGAAGGTGATAACCCCACGGATTTAATTCTCCAAGAGCGTAGTTGAGACGGAAAGTAAAAACGCACAGTGGACGGTATGACTTGTGACTTTCAGCCTGTTAGTTAAAGGGAAAATAAATGAGATGAAGTCTTTTGAAACTGTTAAACAAATTTATCATGATTTCTGGTCTGTATACAGTTACTGCTCAATTTACTCCACTCCATGCATGATACAGTATATCCGTCAGATAAATTCCAACTGACAATCGACCCCTCAAACCACATTCAAACTAAATCTTAACATTCTGGCTACTGAATTTTAAAGTAAGTTTCTCTACTTTGGGTGCTAGCATGAGGCGTATAGATATTGAAAGGAATGTCTGAATGGGAGAAAGATAGAAATAAACGCATGTACACAGTTAACATACAAGGAATCACAAAGTTCTGTGGTCTTCACTGGCTGCCTGCCGTAGCAACAAACGGAATTAACAAAAGACTTAACTCCGTTTCGTCGACGATCAGTCATAGACGAAAGACTTCATGCATGGCTGATTTTCAACGAAACGGAGTTAAGTCGTTTATCAGTGATAACGAACTTAAACAAATTATGGAAATGCAAGCATCACTTTAAACAAACGGAACTATGTTATTCCTGGCTCATTTTTCCTGATTGAGGTGTCATATGAAAGGGCAAAAACTGGACTTTCTAGAAATGTAATTTTCACTTTGAAATTCAGATACCGTCCGCCAAATGACTTCAAATTGATTTTAATCACTCATGCGTGAAATATGCATCATATGAGTTGCATCAAATGAAAGAGGAGGATATAAGCTTCACAAATATATGTCATTTATTAATTATAATTGTGATTAAGTTATGATAAAACATCGACATTCTCGGTTTCGTTTTTTCTGAGACGCACTGTATATATACACATGTAAATCATCACAATCAGCATGGTCGGTGTACGGAAGTGAGAGGTAATCATGTTGAAACTTCCAGTTGTTGTATTCAATCAAGGAGTATAGGCCCTATACATATATTCCACCGAATGCACAATCCGCTGGTAGTTGGTAGTATCAAAGCTAGTCAAGATCAGCCCGGGTCAGTTTGTAGGCGAAGACACCATAGAGCTAGACCCAATCACCGTCATCTCCGTCCAGGCGCGGATCGAGGATGAAAAGAAATTTACGTTTTCTTTTTGTTCACGGGGGGGGGGGGGGGGGTTAGTATTTTTTTTAAGCGCTCACTATGCCACCCCAACCCCCCCCCCCCAACTGAGCTAAATATCGGCAGGCACGATTTTCAAGTTTCAGCACACTAAATTCCAGATTGATTTCAAATTTGGGCCTCCCCCCCCCTAAGAAATCCTGGATCCGCGCCTGTCTCCGTCAGATGTGTGAGTCAACTCAATTATAACGAGGTTTATAGTTACCTACCTCGTGCATTGGCGTGCCCCAGAAATCATTAAAAAACAAATTGAAGATGGATGAATTTGGTCGGAGGTCCTCGTTCTTCACGATCCCTCGTCGGTCGTCAAAGGCGAATCCACAGGAGAGGGCGTTAGAGTAACAAGCAAAGACCAGAGCCAGAAGCCCAGCAGAATAGAAAAACTCACGCTGGGAGGCTGTTGCCATGACTACCATTTCTAGTTTTGTCTTTCCGTTGATCTCAACCGAGGCAACTCAAGAAGCTGATTGAGAGAAGGGATATAAAAGAATTGCTTCAAACACAAATTTGTAATGTATGTTCATCAAGGCATTTTTTGTTATAAATGAAACTTGTATTTGTTCATGGTTCATCGATCCCTATCTAAAATATTAAAGGGCGGGGAACGTCATTCAAACTGGGTTGCAGCAGCAAAGAAAGGCACTTTCTGGAAAGGAAAAAAAAAAGGGGGGGGGGGCTACAAAGCGCAACCTCAAAGTGACAGTGGGAGATAAAGGTAAAAGGGGCACTTATCTAAGTGAAATTACAACAAAAATAACAAGGGGGACTTATCACATTTTAAAGGGGCACTTATAGAGGTAAAAAGGGGGCATGTATAAGAAAGGGAGGGGCATTTATTAAAAAGGGAAAGGAGACCTGGCAAAGTAAAAGGGGGACTAATATTAGAGCTGAAATTTTAAAAACGGTAATCATCAGAGATGAAAACAGGCACTTCTCTGAAGGCTATAATGCAAGTATTGCAAAGGAAAAGGGCATGTGTCAAAATAAAAAGGGTACTTATCAAAGGTAAAAAGGAGAACTTATCGCGCCTAAAAAAGGGACACTTATAAGAAGGAAATGGGGGCATTTATCACAAACGAAAAGGGGCTTTTGTGAAAGTAAAAGGTGCACCTATCAAATTAGAATAGGGGAACTTATCGGAGGTGAAAAGGGGGAAGGGCACTTATTAAAACGAATAAGGGGCACTTATCTGAAGTAAAACGGGCACCTTTCCTATATAAACAGTGGAGGCACCTTGCTCCCCCAGCCGCCCATACATTGGTCCTTTAAATATTTTGTCAACATTTGGGGATAATTACATTATAGCATTTTGTGCATCGGAACAGTAGCAGGAAATTTGCATAAAATGTGAAAGAAAAAGATTCTTTAAAATTGAATTTACGTAGTACATGAAATTGTAAACGATTATTGTTCTTTTGAATACCGGAGTGTTGGCTCAGTCAGTAGAGCGTCCGCCTCACAACCGGGAGGTCGTGGGTTCGAACCCCGGCCGCGTCATACCAAAAGACGTTAAAAGATGGGAGTTGTTGCTACCTTGTTTGGCGTTCAACAATAAGGGATAGAGCAACGTCGATCTGGCGCTGCTCAGTGGCTGCCGGGCTCACGATCAATTGGGCAAAAAGAATTTCCGTTTCGGTTTAATAAAATTTGGAGTGGACTATTAGGCTATTATTATTATTATTATTATTATTATGTTTGACATGATAGTTTAATACCTTGAGTTAAAAATGCATGTAGTAAGAGAGGAAGATGAAAAAAAAAAACAGGTCTGGAGCAAATCAGGCTGACATGCCGTGCCTTCATACACTATACATTTGTATTAAAATAGCAGCTATACGTCCACCACCATACATCAATGTGAAATTACCCATTTAGTTCTTTTGATATAGTACCCCTTTACTTCATTTACCCTTACCGACATGGTTTGGACAGAATTTTTTTTTATTTCAGAGAATATTTTGATGAAATCCGAGCCTGTTATTCACGTAAGTTCTAAATGAGATGTTAATTAGATTACTCATGGCATGGCCGGTGGGCATATAGCTGCTACTTTAATAGAATAATGACGAATTCGAATAATAGTTTATTGATCCCTCCCATGCAGAAAATATCCAACGGCCGTTTGCTTCCCGTTTATGTTACAAATGTATAGTGTATGAAGGCACGGCATGTCAGCCTGATTTGTTTTTTCATCTTCTTTTCTTACTACATGTATTTTTAATTCAAGGTTTTAAACTATCATGTCAAACATATTCAAAAGAATTACCAATAATCGTTCACAATGCAGTCCCGTGTTTACAATACATTTCCATGCCTAATTTCAAAGATGGGGCTTTATAATAAAATTCATAATAATGTGTTCAAATATCATATGAGCAATTTCTTTTTTAAATACCTATATCTTCCAAATACTCCCTTCCCCCATTTAGGCGCGTACGCAGGGGAGGTGGGAGGGGGGGGGGGGTGTTTTTTGGGTTAACCCCCCTCAATTTTCTTTAAAAAATAATGAATACTCCTTGACCCCCCTAACCCCCCCCCCCCCCCCCCACTGAGCGAAATGTCGGTCGGGGGCAAACAAAAAATGTTGCTCACTCCCCCCCCCCCCCCCCACACGGAAAAAAATTGTTACTCACTATAGCATGATGTAGTCAACTTATCTATATTTTTTAAGAACATCCGAGTATACAACAATTTTCATGAAGGTCTATATAACAACCTTTCTCAACTCTGATTGCTTCTATTTATAAATAGACAGTTGACTGGCTCTCACCTTCATCATGCATGTCTTCATAAGCCAACTGAACGAGTTGTGTTTCGAGGAGAGTCTATAGCGTTCTTTGAACAAACCATGGACCTATTACGGATGGACATTCAACGTGATTCTTTCTTTGATCTAATGATAGTCGCCGCCTTCTCATTATGTGCATCTTAATGAGAAAATTCAGCTGTTTTAACAATAACGACTGCAAAAGCATTTTCGGTCGTTGACAAAGCAGTTTCCCTCTCTTGGGTTTTGTTTAGATGGTGTGCTCTGTAAGAGTGTGTCTTAAATAAAAGCATCCCCAATGGGGAGCAGCAAAGTTGAAAAGCAGACGATTTTGGTGATATGAAATGTATTATTACTGATTCGCAAGCTTTCGCACACACCTATGACCTTATAAAACAATTAAAAAACCATGATCTGTATCAGCCCTGTGCGTTGTAATTCTGGAATATTATGAGGAAATAGGGGAAACGGGATTTTAAATCACAACCAAAAAATCAAAAAAATAACCTCTATCTGGTAATATCAACATGTTTTTCAAAATAAAATACATGTACAGTACACGGAACAACAATTTCCAATTATTATTGACCAGAACTGCACATCGATTATCCATGATTTAAGCGATTTATTATCTTCTGCGCATGTAGATTAACATGTTTAAAATCACTATCTTGATTCTGTCCCGGCTTATTGGCGGCGACCATCATGAGATCAAAGTGAATAAACATGTAGGGAATGTTATTGAGACGACATTGACGGAGACAATCACAATGATGAATGTCCATTCGTAATAGGTCCATGCACAAACAAACAAACATAATGATATATATATAAAAATCAGGAGATGATGGCAAACTGAGAGAGTTTTAATGTTTTCATTTCCTTACCTTCTCCAAGACGGTCCTCCAAGTCTTCTCCTTTATTACCCCCAAGATTTAGGAACGTTTACAAGCAGAAAATTGTAATCGCAAGACGAAATAAGTATCCACGACTCCAAAACCGAGTTGCAATACGAGTCGATCAAATTTCTTGTCGAAGAATTATTGTTTAAATTATAATGTCTGTTTCGTTTTACCGGACCCTGTACACACGAATAGAGAAGACGAAAATTTATTATCCACGACCCGAGAACCATTTACAAAGAGCGATCGTATTTGAAAAGACTGAGTTATTATCCAGGACTCCGAAACCGAATTAAAACGCCACTGTTCTTATTCGAGCATAGAATTATCATTGTGCTGTATATTTATACATGTATATATATATATATATATATATATATATATATATATATTTTGCCACGTGTTAAAACATGGAGTTACGCGTACGCAACCAAGCTAGAGAATGAAAATTCCACCTTTGAAGGCTGGGATGTGAAAGAGAAATATTCGAGACAATGGTTGTATTTTTTGTCGTGGTAGCAGATGTGTTTAAAAGGTGTAAGGTTTGAGACAGAGGTCGAGGCGGTGGAAAGAGAGAGAGAGAGAGAGAGAGAGAGAGGAGAGAGAGAAGAGAGAGAGAGAGAGAGAGAGAGAGAGAGGGGGGGGGGGGGGGGAGTAGTTAAGCACCCTATCAATAAATCTACTAACCGTAATAAAGGAATCAACAAATATTAAAAAGAAACTCTACCCTCCCTGATGGTACACTAAGATTTTTATATTAGGAGCAAAATGAATAAATGTGAGTTGTTTGTGGAAAATCCGATAAAACGGAAGAAAATGATGAATGATTAAAGTTTAAATAGATTAAACGCAAAGTGGCAAATTGTGTGACTTACCTTTCAGAAACTTCCATATATCCTCTATACTACAAAAAAAAATTAGTGAGCTCGAAATTTAATTTCTTTGGAAAACATATTTCCAATCAATTATAACCAATTTAAAACAATCCATTCGTGAACAAAACAAATTCGACAGTGCGTCTCCAGTATACCTCCGTCTAAATCATGGCTTGAATTATTCTTGAGTTATTACGATGGGAACTTAAAGTTTATAATTATATGCCAGAGAATGAAAATTCCACCTTTGAAGGCTGGGGTGTGAAAGAGAAATATTCGAGACAATAGTTGTATTGTTTGTTGTTGATAGCAGATGTGTTTAAAAGGTGTAAGGTTTGAGGCAGAGATCGAGGCGGTGGACAGAGAGAGAGAGAGAGAGAGAGAGAGAGAGAGAGAGAGAGAGAGAAGAGAGAGAGGAGAGAGAGAAAGAGAGAGAGAGAGAAAAAGAGAGATCGAGGCGGTGGACAGAGAGAGAGAGAGAGAGAGAGAGAGAGAGAGAGAGAGAGAGAGAGAGTTCCCACCTAATAGCTTAAAATAACAACGTTTAAAAGCCTATAATTTCATGTAGGCCTATATTAACTTTTTGCACCAAAATCTACTCAGTTTGTTTTTCCATAAAGTAATGCATTTTAAATACCAAGTTGAACTTTTTAGCTTTTAAACGTTCTTGATAATGGGGCTATTAGCATTTGATTTGAAATATAAGGATTTTTAGCTGAAGGCCTAGAGTCACCGACATGAAAATTTCATAGTAGACCTATTTATTTTCATCTGATTTTCCTCAACCCTTACTTATCTAGCTGTTTTTCTAATTGTCCTGCTTTTATCAAAAGTAACTCGTTATGTCGATGCAGAACTTATTCTGAAACAAAATCCTGGATTTAGCTCAAGCTGCAATGATAAGTATAAACCTTTAGGTCAGTCAGGAACCCCACGACTTTTACAAGCCGATCGCCTGTCTGATTATCAAGATATTTATGATTGGTAGAGGTGTTGTGGTCGAGTGGATATGTCGCCGGACTGTCGATAACAAGGTCCACGATTCGAGTCCCGCCGCGGCACTAATGTCCCCTTTGGCAAGACATTGATCTACATTAGCCACACTCAACCCAGGTGATGTAAATGGATACCTGGCAGGGAATGAAATTGAAATGCTGGAGCGCTGTATAAACGGTAGCTAGACTAAAGTCGGGGTAATAATAAATGTGCCTCAGAATAGAATTATCTAGATAGACGGCGCTATAGAAATGACTTTATTATTATTCTTGGAAATCGAAATCAAATTTTGCGTTTTCCTTAACGGTTTTCGTAACACTACAACCTGAAGGGGGAAAACGAGAAGGCCTATGGTAAAAGCGATCACTCAAAGAGTTTAATTTTTTGAAGCACTTCTTGATCATTTTTGAAGCGCAATTTTGTTAGGGCTTCAATATATTACACCATATCCCAGACACTCTTAGCATATCAGATTTAACATTGTTAAATGATGCCTTTAAGCACAATTAGACATTCCCTCTTATGCCTTAGATTTTGGTTTCAATATCTTCTTTCTTTCTCTCTTTAATTCTCTCTTTCTTCTTCTTCTTCTTCTACTTCTCCTCTTTCTATTCCTCTTCATCCTCCTTTTTCAAAATGGCCGCCATAAAGTGGCCTTTTTCGGCTCAGCTTCTGTTTGAGGTATACGTAATGGAACGTGCTGCTCATTACTAAATTTCCTTGATGGAGACAACAAATTACGACGTCTTTATTTCTAATATATATGCTGCTTATAAGTATCGGCCTGCATGGTGATGTAGTAGCCTAAGGTTTGCAGTTGCACCATGTACCATGGGTATAGATCTGTAATTGATATTGTTCAGGGCAGGCGCGGATCCAGGATTTCTTAGGGGGGGGGGGCCCAAATTTGAAATTATGCGAGCCAAATATTGGTACGTTATGGTGACCAACAGTGACGTAATGCGGGGGGGGGGGGGGGTCGGTGCAGGAGGGGCGAGTTTCCCCTCCCAGGCTTTGACGTTTCATTATATTATTAGAGAAAGACGACGATTCGTTGTACCGTTCTCGAAAATAATTCTCGTTTGAATTTAGTTTTTCCCCTCCCGCGCGAAGCGCGTAAGCTTTTACGTTTCATTAAATCATTAGAGAAAGAAAACGATTCGTTGTACTGTTCTCGACTCTTAATCCTTGTCTAAATTCAGCCCCCCCTCCCCTCCTGCGCGAAGCGCGGAAGCTTTGACGTTTTATTAAACTATTGAAGAAAGAAGACGATTCGTTGTACCGTTCTCGACCCTTTATCCTCGTCTGATTTCAGTTCCCCTTCCGCGCGAAGCGCGGAAGCTTTTACATTTCATTAAATCATTAGAGAAAGAAAACGATTCGTTGTACCGTTCTCGACTCTTAATCCTCGTCTGAATTATGTCCCCCCCCCCTCCCGCGCGAAGCGCGGAAGCTTTTACGTTTCATTAAATCATTAGAGGAAGAAAACGATTCGGTGTACAGTTCTCGACTCTTAATCCTTGTCTAAAATCAGTTCTCCCCCTCCCCCTCCTGCGCGAAGCGCGGAAGCTTCTACGTTTCATTAAATCATTAGAGAAAGAAGACGATTCGTTGTACAGTTCTCGACTCTTAATCCTCGTCTGAATTCAGGTTCCCCCCTCCCGCGCGAGGCGCGGAAGCTTTTAATCTTCATTTAATCATTAGAGAAGAAGACGATTCGTTGTACAGTTCTCGACTCTTAATCCTTGTCTAAATTCAGTTCCTCCCCCTCCCCTCCTGCGCATAGCGCGGAAGCTTCTACGTTTCATTAAATCATTAGAGAAAGAAGACGATTCGTTGTACAGTTCTCGACTCTTAATCCTCGTCTAAATTCAGGTTCCCCCTCCCGCGCAAAGCGCGGAAGCTTTTACGTTTCATTAAATAATTAAAGATTCGTATTACCGTTCTCGCCTCTGAATCCTCGTCTCAATTCAGTCCCCCCCTCCCCTCCTACGCGAGGCTTTGACGTTTTATCATTAGAGAAAGAAAACGATGCGTTGTACCGTTCTCTATACTCTTAATCCTTGTCTGAATTTCAAAGATGTTCTTTGTCTGCTCCTTTTTATTCCTACGTCCCCCCCCCCCCCCTGGCTACGCGCCTGCGGTCAGATAAACACATCTTGATACCTTGTCCGACCCCACAAGCTTAGGGGTTTAAGGCAATAAATTACGGTCAGATAAGCATTCAGGGGCCCACCTTAGGGCCCCTGGTGGGGTCGAGGCGGCGGAGCCGGCCCCGGAAGCTCAGGGGTTTTAGGCGTTTAATTAAGGTCAGATGAGCATATTTTTGTGTATACCTTATTATTTTGTGACACTGGCAAGTCACTATTTGGCGTGGGGTCCAGGGGGCGGAGCCCAAAAAAAATCAGGGGTTTTAGGCATTAAATTACCGTCAGATGATCATCTAAGGGCCCGCCGTAGGGCCCTAGATGGAATCCAGGGGGCAAAGCCCCCGGAAGTTTAGGGGTTTTAGGCATTTAATCACGGTCAGATGAGCATATTTCGATGCCTCGAGGCTCTCGATCCCCGCCGTACCTCGGGCCCTGACATGTAGGAATCTCAAGAATCGTATTTTTTGCCTGGTTGTAAATTTAGGAATTTTTTTTATTTTCCAACAAACACATACAAACGTATAATTTACTAAAAAGTGAGGAAAAATTTCGGAAATTATGTCATTTCAGCATTATTTGTAATACACCGTTGTGGAATCAGAAATAAACCACGTTTGAATTTGATTTCCCCCAAGCCCCCCCCCCTCTATCAGTACGCCAGTATCTCCTCTTTTCCTTTTTTTTCTTTCCCTTTCCTTCCTTTTCTCTTATTTTTTTTTTATTGGGGGGGGGGGGGAGGGGGGGGGGGTAACAGCCTGGGAGGCAAGGCCCTTATTTCGGCCCCCCCCGATCTTCTTCTTCCCCCTTTACTTTTCTTCTTCCTCTTCTTTCTTTCCCTTTTTTCCTTTTCCCTTTCTCCCTTCTTTTCCTTCTTCTCTCTTTTTTTTTTTGCGGGGGGGGGGGGGGGGGGCAAGGCCCGCTCGGCCCCCTGGATCCGCGTCTGGTTCAGGGGGGGGGGGATGATCTATTCATTCATCCCCCATGAACAATAGGTATTACGTAAGGATTGACGCCCATGCCATGTACACTGTCGCTCATATAGGTGGAATATTTAGTTTTACCCCAATTTATGGAATTATTTAAACAATAATTTAAAAATAATAGATCTAGATAAAGTATACATTATCAGATTTTATTGAATAATAATTTGCAAATGTGTGTTTTACGTGACTGCTAAAGCATGTGGTTGCTTCTATGCTTATCAACTAGGGGACCTATGCCCTTAAGTCATAAATGATAGTAATGAGGATTAATACCCCACAATTAAGGGCACTAATATAGCACATCGACACGGTTTTTATCCTGGGGCCTCACAGTTACGAGGCCATTGCTTTGTCACTGAACCATGACTGTACGCAGCGGGGGCTAGGGGGCAGTTTCCAAAAATAATTAAAAAAAACAAACAGAAAATGCAATAATTTTTCAATAATTTATTGCATCATATTTTACCCCGGTTCCCAACACAAAAAATCCTCTGTGTGCCCATGCCTTGAGCCATAATGCATGGCCATCCAGAGGATAGTATTAATTGTGTTTGGTTGGATGGGGTTATTAATTTGTTTTATGTTACAACTGATTTCATTTTTGTTTTCATCAATCGTACAATCTATGTAATGAAAATCATTGAGTTCATGTCATTGTATTATTTGGAATCAATAAAAACAAAAAGTATTGACAAAAAAAAAAGGTGCGTATATATCATAAAAGTACTTTGCCCAATTCAGCGTATTTAAAAAAAAATTAAATGAACTTGAACAATCACTTCTTTGATAAAACAAATTCTGCATAGTTTTCCCATAAAGGAGTTTTTCATAGGCTCCTCCTTAATTACCTCGTTAGTTTTACTCAAATAAAAGAAATACAAAAATCGGAACAAACACTTGGACAAAGATTTTTTTATTTTATTAAACAAATGACCGACAAAATTAAGCCTTTTTTGGTGGATTAATCTTGTAGCATTTAAACAAAAATTGTTTTAAAGTTCAACAATAAGTAGGCCTACATTTGGCTCTCCATAAGCATTCCTATCAAATTTTTCCTTGACCTGTAGCTGTATCAACGACTTGTCGTCAGTTTCTGACTTTTAGAGGTACGATATACCGTTGTTATTTCAATGCATGCTACCGTTATATATACCAGCTTTTTGCGATTCTAAGATTGCTGATACCAGGGACCTAGGCAATAGCTGAAAGCCTGAAACTCGAATGATCGCGGCGCTCACTCACCGGCGCCGGACCGTGGTACGGTATGCCGGTACGGCCGGGACGGGGCAGACAGGCCAGACAGGCCAGGCCGGGCACAGGGCCCGCATCCGCGCTGTCCATCCCGCTCCCGGCTCCCGGCTCCCGGCTCCCGCTACGCGCTATAGATCTAGGTTCTACATTAAATTCGCTAATTTTGGTTTACTATGGTGTTGAGGCTTGCAGCTTCAGCTTATATGTGCCCCTCTTGACTGCATTGGATGCGCGTTGGTATGGGCAGGTAGACTCTATAGAAGGAATAACCGTCTGATATGATAAGATATGGGTCATTTCTTAAAACTAAGGCCGTGAGCACACTTTTAGGAGCATCACTATCCTGGCTGTGTAGGTAAAAGCTGTGCTTTTGATTCTCAACATTTCAAACACCACTGTACAAAACTCAACTGATTTCACTCAAAATCGGTACTTAAGACAAGTGACAATCGATGACACCTAAATTAGTAAATAGCAGTAAAATACATTTTTTTTAACTTACTGATGTTAAAAATAATAATTTAAAAATTCAAATTGTAAGTCTAACTTTTAGTGTCAAACTTTGCTTACAGCTGCATCGACATGATTGTGTACAGTCAATGCAATATTGTGTGGTGTGTGTATTTGTATATGAATAGTTGAGGAAAGGGAAAAATGAAGTTTGGGAGTCCAGCCGTAAATGGAGATATTAAGCTGTGAAGCTTATTTATTCGATCTGTAAAGACAGATAAAATAACAAAGACAGATTTAGTATATCATTCATGTTACACAAGAATGCAATATATAGACTAATCCAAATTATCTGAACAAACCAAGTAACTGTATCTATAAAGATTCATGTAAACACATTTGCTTTTGTTCTATAAACTGTCAATCTTGACCTCGTCCTTTAACTAACAAAAATCCAGAGTAACCAATGGTTACAAAACCTTATGCATTTTCTAATATGCATTACTTTCAAATACTCATACTTTCAGAGTTTCTAAAACCGACCAGACTTCCCTTTAAACAGATCACTGCCAATTTGCATGAACCAAAATAACTGTAAACATCTTTATCTTGCATCCATACACAAGCTTGATAATTCTCATCTATCTTCATAGTTTAAATTCCTTCTAAAAACCTCAACAATAGATTGTCACTTTAAATGTGCTATATGACCTTCGGCTGACTTTGACAGGCACCTAATTTGCATATTTATGCTGGCCTAAGAAAAACTGTCTTATAAAATGACTTCATACAATTTAACCCTGTTTGATGAATTAAACTTAAATATCTTACTTACATAAAACTTCCCAGTAATAATCTAGAGATTACACTTCAATACAAAATAAACTATCTGGCATAACTTGTAATTTACACCTGTAATTTACATCTGTAATCTACTCCTGTAATCCACACATGCACTACAGCAAGCCTTTCAAGTTACATTGTTAACTCTTAAAAATGATTAAACACTGTCTTCAATTCTGACTCTAAATACCATGCCAGAGGTGCAAAGCTTAACCTTTCACCTAGTCAATAAATGGTGTCTTGCAACTTTTAAGCAAGCTAAATCAAATTCCACAGACCAACTTTTGTCACCCAAACAAACTGCATAAAATCCAAGATTCTAGCATGCACAAATATAATCATCCTTTATCTTTAGGACTTCTACATATATACACGGTTTACTCTATAAATGACATAAAACAATATTTGCTTAATATTGTAATTCTGTTTTGACAATTATCATTTAACTGGAAAAACACAAGACGAAAAGTACGTGTCATGGGCGCGGCCATTTTAGGTGCAGCCATCTTGGAATTAATGCCACACGTGCATTATGCAAATGAGTTAATTACAGTTCTTTAGAGTCCGTTTTACAGTTCAACTTGAATCTATCTTATTTTCTGTTTTATGAGTTCACATTCCAGTTTATATTAATCTAAACACTCACTTCTGTGGCGGGACAAAACTTCGTCGGGAATACTTGAATGGCAACTGACGGGTTAACTGGTAAACTAGTCAAACTTGACTACATTTCTGACTGCGTTCTGTGCTGACTGAAGAACATGGCGACAGTGCCGAACCTAACCTATGGTAGCTTATAAGAGCAAAAAAAAAGAAAATCTAAACCAAGCAAAAATCATCGCTCGGCGAAACAGTATATGGGTCTAAAAAATACCCGCCTCACAGCAAGCATGCAGTGCTAGAGGTCTATACGCATTGGCATTGACTCTCTATGCTTTGCTGGAGTGGCCGTGAGGGCTTGGTGGCAATGTTTTTATGATATTGATACCTCCAAGCCTGAAACGGTTCCCATACAAGCGCACGTGCACAGAGAGGCATGTAAACAAACCCTACATTTTTTTTCATAAATGTAATGCTTCCTGGGAGAAATTTTTTTTTCTTCGTGGGTTTGGCGGGAGGTTTTGTCATAAACCGGGAGATTCAACATAGTTGGCGGGAGAGCGGGAGGAAGAAGTGGTGGCGGGAGTCTCCCGCTACAAGCTTTTGGGGCGGCGGGAGAATGAACGTGGTGGCGTGAGACTCCCTCCAAATGCGGGAGGGTTGACAGCCCTGGCTTAGGTATTTTGATTCTAGTTCATCGTGACTGTGCCATGGACCAGTGATGGCCTGGTGGTATAGTTGCTGCCCGGCAAGCAGTAGGCCTAGATGCAGGTTCAAATCCCGCTGGTTCCAAGATTTTTTCTGACTTGTTTTTTCAATACAGATCGATCAATCGATCTTATTTACTGGGAGCAAGCCACAAGTATGTTTAAACAAACCCTAAAATGTGTCCGAAATTCCACCTTTCTGCACCCGACGAATATTGGACAGTGGCCTCGATGACTTTTATGCCACTTCTACTCCTAATTGCCTATGAAAATTAAAAATTAGAGGTAAAAATAACGAAATATTGGCGAATATCTTAACAGAGCGATACAGCTCAGCTCCTTTTCATGTGTAGCGTGTGACTTTATGATCTTGGTACAATGGTGTTGACCTCTGACTGGCACTTCCGTAAATATACTGCTACCGTATAATGCGCTGTATGAGTGTTATGCAGTAATTCTACAGTTAATTCTTTCCAAAATAGTTGAAACTTCCAGAACAACCTAAAAATGCTCTAAAATTTAATGATTAAAAGGGATACTAAAATGATCAGCAATACCTTCTTGATGCAGAATGTCGAATAACTAGTCCAAGGTCAACCCTGAAGCTCATTTGGTTGAATTTTAGGCGTTTTTTTCAGGACAATGCAATCCTATTTTTAACCGTGTGTGTGTGTGTGTTTGGGTTTTTACAGACGTGTATCAATCAGAAATGATTATTTACGTCTGGGGACCGACCTGTAAATGTCACCATCCAAAAGAATTGACTCAGTTTCGAATCTGCGTCCTCGGCTGAATCAGTTTGTAACTTCCATTGTTAGCTGGAAACCGATGAATCGATTTCCCCTTGGTTTTCGAGGAACAATTATTACAACCAAACACTTGGCAGTACACCATGTGTGACCTGTATTGCATATAACACGCGCGCCGCGCTACATCAGTTCTCCGTGCAATACGTAACAACCTGAAAGTTTTGAAGGGAAATTTCTACAAAATTGCAGCTTCCTTGGGCAGCAGACGACCTCGTAAATATGGCGAAGTAGGGTCTCTTTCTTGTCCTTGCAAGACAATGATATTTGGTCTACAGCAATGCTTTTTAAATCAAATGACACATTGTTTTACTCTCTATGTCATGATAATGCTTCATAGTTGAGAGGTTAATTCTCTTTTAAAGCTTATCTGCCGTAGTTTACAGGAGGGATTAGACCGCTCTGCAAGGTCACTGGACAGGTGGTTATCTCATCAACTCAGCTCTCAGTTAACATAAGAAAAAGAGGATCATGGGGGACCAATGGTCACCGATTATGAATTGTTTGTTATATAGAGGGCGCAAGTAGCTACCAGTAGTGCAGTGGGCCTTTAAGGGGGGGGGGGGGTATGTGAATGATCATCATTTATGGGCTTAAATTGGAGACATACAGTGTATATAATTTTTCATCTACCATTATTCTGTCAGTATATGGAATAACTTTGTAAGTTCTTTCTTCTTCTTCCAAGGAAAGTGCTGCTTCAAGGCCTTGAAGATTGTGCATTGTGTGTGCCTGTGAGGAGCCTGTGTGAGCCTGCTGGCCAGGATCCTTGTGCAGATATATACAGGGTGCAGACTCCGAAGAAGGAAAGACTTGGTAGCCATGGCAACTGCCTCCCAGCGTGAGCTCTTCTATTCTGCTGGGCTTCTGGCTCTGGTCTTGGCTTGCTACTCTAACGCCCTCTCCTGTGGATTCGTCTTTGATGACCGGTCAGCGATCGTCGAGAACAAAGACCTCCGGCCAGACTCGTCCACCTTCGATTTGTTTTCGAATGATTTCTGGGGGATGCCCATGCACAAGGTTGAGAATTTTTTTGAAAAATTTTATGTAAATAGCTTTTTTCTATTAGAAATATTGAAGAAAAGCAAAGCTAGACATATAGTTATTCAATAGACCCCTACTTATAAAGCAAATTGTCTGATCTTTTATGTAAATAGCTTTTTTCTATTAGAAATATTGAAGAAAAGCAAAGCTAGACAACTAAACAATTAATTAATGCATATCTATGTTAATTTTACACTGGAGTATTAAAGTGCCTGTACAAACACAGATTTATATGTTGCAAATTGACCTCTAATGTGTTTGTGGAAGAAATATCAAATACAATATAACACAGGATCTTTTCTGCTTATTTTTGAAAAATTTGTTCGATTCATTGGATGAAAATAATACATTGAATAGTTTTACAACCATTCTGAAGACTAAATTTATTTTCCCCTTCAATTAACAGGAAAGAAGTCACAAGTCATACCGTCCTCTGTGTGTTCTTACCTTCCGTCTAAACTACGCTCTTGGAGAACTGAACCCATGGGGTTATCACCTTGTCAACGTGGTGCTGCACTGGGTGGTGTGTGTCCTCTTCTTGAAAGCGGCCAAACAAATTGTAGATGAAGAGAGTAGTGTCAACGCATCTCTTCTCTTTGCTGTACATGCTGTTCACACTGAAGCGGTATGTTTATCAATTTTTAAAAGCAGAAACCTTCACATCAACATAAAACTTTGGAACTTGCAAGGGTTTCCTTGTTTGCAGTGAGCATCCTTACCTGCTTGCAAAGTATTTTACTTAATTTTTTATTACTCAGTTATTCTGTGGGATGAAGCATTTGCAATCTCCCACTATTCACCAAATACGAGACAGCTTCTGATTTCATGCAAACAAGCTGTCCTGGGTGCGTCTTTTTTTAACCTAACTTAGCCATCCTATCGCTGCATTCGATTGGCTCAATATGAACCATACGTCATGAGCTAGTCGTAAATATTCATGATACGCATGCACACAGAATCTGATACAAAAATTACAAGTGAAAAGCTTGAAGTCAATGACATTGCGAGAAAATCGGGTGGCTTACCGTAAACGAATGCTTACCCATGTCATAAATTGTCCATAATCATTGCGAGATACTGGTTAAGTCCAGAATCTGAGTGATTTAATTTTGATCTCCTCACCGTACCAACAAAAATATTCATATATTCAAATATTAATATGCAGCGCAGGAGGGCAAGGTTAGGTTTAAAAATGTTGCGTCCTGGGTCTTGATCCTTGCTAGGTTCTTACATCTTATAAGGTAATTTGTAGGTTTATTTGTAATTTTTTGTTTAATAGAACCCAGAACCCAAACATATCAAAAGACATTCTTTCCTGATGCGATCAGACTATGGAACTCTCTTCCCCCGAGTTTAGTCAACAGCACCTCCTTAGTGATTTTCAAGCAGGGGGTGTAACAAATGAGGCTTTGTTGAGCCTCTCCTGTTTTTTAGACGCACATAGTATCAACTTGTAGTGAGATTTTTACTTGCACTATTCATCTAGGCACTTGACAAGCACAAGTACGATAATACGCCCACGGCGGTCTGTACTTAACTGGAAGAAGAAGAAGAATATATAATTGCTTGTCATTGTATTTTGTATAGCGTTTTCGAGACCTTGTTGGAAAGCGCTTTATAAGCACCGTTTTATTATTATTATTAAGGTGCTTTATCATTCTTTGTAAATCAGTAATCATTTTCTTGTTTGCATTTCTATGTACATGTAGGTTACTGGAGTGGTCGGTAGAGCTGAACTGCTGTCCTCTGTCTTCATGCTACTATCGTTCATGGCTTACGTCAAAGCAGCCGAGGCCAATAACACCACAAGTAATTTGTCCATGTTTTATACCTCATTTTTCTTCTTATTGGGGGGGGGGGGGGGGGGGGGGTCATCTAATCACTTTAAAACAAGAAACTTTCTTGAAGCGTAAACAACAGCCATTTTCAAAGCAACAGACTTTCACGACTTGAAACTGTCAAAGTTTAGTTCATGTGGCATGAAAAGTATCTGAACCACTCACAATCACACTCTTCTTTCATTATTCCCATCTGAGCTAGTATTTATTTACATTCCCAATTCCCAAAGTGTAATGCTACGGTCACAAACGTTTGTACGAACGGTAATTTTGTACGAATCTCCGTTTTTCCATTGTCTTCCCGAATTTCCATTGTCTGAAAATCGTTCGTAAGGCGTTCGGAGCAGTTCGTAATGGCACTTGTGACCGAGGCTTAACACAAACAGTAGTTGGAAGAACAACAATAATGGAAGAACAACAATATTTGATTGCAGTTTTTTTACCCCCCCCCCCCCACCGTGCTGATAGTGTTAATTTTAAAATTATTTTTACCCTTGGGTCCTTCTTTGCTTCATTTTAACAGACTGGAAGTATATGATGTGGTCGGGTTTGCTCATTGCCATGGCAACCATCTCCAAAGAACAGGGCATTACTGTGGTTGGCATATGCTGCATCTATGAAATCTTTTTCCTACAGAAGGTATGTGTGTATGTTAAACATTAGAAGGTATATGTATATATGTTAAACATTAGAAGGTATATGTATACATGTTAAACATTAGAAGGTATATGTATATATGTCAGACATTAGAAGGTATATGTTAAACATTAGAAGGTATGTGTATGTATGTTAAACATTAGAAGGTATATGTATGTATGTTAAACATTAGAAGGTATATGTATGTTTAACATTAGAAGGTATGTGTATGTATGTTAAACATTAGAAGGTATATGTATGTATGCTAAACATTAGAAGGTATGTGTATGTATGTTAAACATTAGAAGGTATATGTATGTATGTTAAACATTAGAAGGTATATGTATGTATGTTAAACATTAGAATGTGTGTGTATGTATGTTAAACATTAGAAGGTGTATGTATGTATGTTAAACATTATTAAAAACAGTTGGGGAAAATTCAAAAATGGTTGGGAGAATTTACTGTTAATCACTGTTAGAGGTTGTCATACATCGACTCCGTCAAAGAAAACCATAGATATCTTCGTGGTTTGAGAATTTTTTCAGGATTTTTTGCATGTCAGAGGGTTAGCACAGTAGAAGGAATATAGTAAGTAACATTTTATACAAAAATTAAGCAATTTTTTCATCAACCTTCAACAATGTTACCAAGTCACTTTAAAGGTATTACAAAGTTTTGGGAAATTTTGAGAAATGGGTAGATAGTGATTCTTTACAATTTTGATATATTTGGATGCCCCTGTGGATGTAATAAAAGCACTATAAATTTTAGCCCCTAAAACGCTTCTGTTTTTCGAGAAAAATTGAATATAAAGATTTACCTGTGCTCCCGGTAAATTTTGATAAATTTCAAATAGCTCCTACGGCCGTACTATGGTAGCTGAGACCCAGTCGGGTAAAAAAAACAAACCAAATAAATTAAGCTATTGTGTTCAATTGTCCATCTCATCTGATTTGTAATCACAGGCAGACTAATGTAATTATTTATCCCTTCTTTGTACAGTTCTCACTTAAGGCATTCATGCAACATCCTAAATCGAGAGGTTCAAAGGCATCGCAGAGCTCATCACCCAATTCTCAGGCTTTGTGGAGGGCTGCTCCTAGGTTGGGATACCTGATAGCATCATCTGGGCTGTTACTATGGGGACGGATGATCATCATGGGGGCAAAGTTGCCCTCCTTTACCAGGTATTACAATGGAGTGACACAACATTTGCTATGGCAATAATTTCCCTAGGCTTTAGCTTGTCAAAAATATAAAGTTATGGTTACAATTTGGGTAGTTGGTCACGGTTAGGGGTAGCTATAGTATGTCTTCTAGGGTTGAATTTAGGAATTCAGATAGTGTTGGTAATTACATAGTTCTCCCATAAGTACTCTTGACATGAGTAAATGCAGCAAGCATGAAGCTCTGGGGGGTGTTTCACAAAGACTAAGATCGACTTTGAGTTGAACTTAACTATGGAAGGCCATTCATGCCACTGGTTGCTCTCACCATTGGTCTCTCAATCATGATCTTTAGATAATATCTTTTCCTTCAATAATGAACTATCAACTCTATCAATATAAATTCTGTAGATTTGTGACCACGATTTGTACGTCCCTCGAGTAACCAATGCCAGTAAATGGTGAGAGCAAAGTACAGTGGCATGAACAGCCTGCCATAGTTAAGTCCAACTTAAAGTCGATCTTAGTCTGTGTGAAACACTCCCCTTGGGGTCTCAAAGACTCTGACCTGTGTCCATGTGGTCAAATTCAGACTGTTGAGCACGTTCTGAATGAGTGTGCTGTAGCAGGACCCCCATGTTCCATCACTGGTACCGACAACCAACAAACGATGTTCTATGGTTGATCTATGAAATAATACAGGAGTAAATGGAGATGAGTTCATAAATTTAATTACCATTTATGAGATGGCGCTCTAAACTCTTTTACATGGTTTAGACTGTTAAGAAAAAAATTGGATGGGACAATACTCTAACGTATTTTTAGCATTAGCGTATTTGTCATTAATTTTTGTTCCATCTTTCATGTCACATACCCTATCAAACTCCTGGTGTTTTCAATATCTATACCAAGATTTGATAACCCAGCTGCCCTGTCACCCTTCCCAACCCGTCACCTGACCCACTTATACCTTCTGCCAGTCAACGTTTGGCTCCTCCTCTGTCCCTCAACTCTGCTCTGTGATTGGACAATGGGAACCATCCCACTGGTGACCTCTCTCAGTGACCCTCGTAACCTGGCAACCCTTTTACTGGTGACCTGCCTCTTTCTACTGGTGCTGTATGCAGTATTTGCAGAAGAGAAAATTTCATGCCAACTTATAATGGTAAATTAATTTCTATATTTCATTTCTTCAATTTATATAGCCTTCAATGAGAAGTGTGCAGATGCATTATAATCATTTAGAGGTTTTCCATCTTTCTGTGGTCGTCGCTACTATAAAGTAACTTGCATGCATTGTTCTGTCTGAAGTTATTGGTTTACTCTAGTAACTTCATTGCAGAACAGTCTAAGGGATGTTATCCAAAATTTGGTTCAAGTACACCTATGTAGAAGCGCATGAAAGGATAACATTAGTAAGATTTTGGTTTGAAGGTCAAAGGTCATATTCTGTATGCTGTAATGTTTGACTTAAAATTATTCAGATGTCATGGCAACCATCTTATAGTTGTTGGTCACAAAGCTAGCCAAAAAGGAACTACCTTTAATCCTCGTTTGCGTTTTTCCTTGTAAACCTCGATCTGGTGTATATACATGTATGTGTACATGAATAGGAGTTGGGATCAGAAGGAAATAATCTTCTTGTAAAAAAGGTCCCTAAGCACAATCACATGTGTGTTGATGAGATACAGAAATGTAATTTAGATGAAGACATACTAATAGTCTATGCACGTTCATGATGTTATTCCTTTGCCTTTAGTACTTTACAGCACGGGTCCTATACAGTCTACCAGGGCAGCGTCTCACGAAACCGTCAAAAGTGCAACTTCACCGACATCCGGTTGAAACGCGTGTTAAACTTAATGCAAGCATTTCAATGGAATGTTGTTAAACTTGTACTTATGATGGTTTCCTGAGACGCTGCCCAAGACTCTATGTCTTATGCCTTAAAGTATTTAAAATGCTTGGTTTGTATTGATATGTGTATTTCTCCTATGTCTGTCTTCTTCAAACATTATTTTCCAGGCTTTATCGTTTCTTGTCCTGCCATTCTTGCCAGCTAGTAACTTGTTTTTCCCAGTTGGGTTCGTTGTTGCCGAGAGGGTGCTCTACACTCCTAGTATGGGATACTGTTTGCTCGTTGCCATAGCGATGGAGAGATTACAAGCAAATAGGTAGGATACTGATTCAATCAATTTTCTTGCAAGTATTCACTTCTGGTCACTGGAACCCTTTTCATGACTGGAACTTTTGGGTGTTTGTATAGAAAAAGTACTGATATGTTTCCCCTATGCTATATTTTAATTTGTATGGCTCCGCTTCAAATTGTGTCATGTATGTATCTTACAGAGCCAATGAACCGAGTAGAATTTGGGGTCATGAGGTCAAAGGTCATTAGGCTCATTATGTATACAAAAATACATGTAGCTTGTGAACCCATTATCATTAGAACCGATGGATGGATACTGTCAAACTTAGGACATGTATGTATCTGGCACAGCCAATGAATTGATTAGATTTTAGGGTCATGAGGTCAAAGATCAAAGGGGCCATACGTGTACATGTTTATGAAAAATAGCTTGTAATCACAATATTCTGAGAACCTGTTAATGGATTACAATAGCTTGTAATCACTATATTCCGAGAACCTGTTAATTTATTACAATCAAACTTGAATTTGAAAAATTGCTTCTGTTGTGGTTTGTTAAATAGCTCTATTGTGGAACATCCATCTAGTTTAATTAGTAATTAGTAGCATTTTTGTGAAGCTGTTATAAGTTTTTCACAACTCTTCATCCTAATTTCCATTATCATTATTGCATATTTATTTTGGTAAACTGTGACACATTTAATAGTATAATGAGGAGTAAGTGCGATATATTTTGTTGATTTAAAAAATCTAACATTTATCTCCATAGAAGGTCCATGAGGTATGTCGTTGGTGGCATCTTTGCCGTCATCCTACTCTTGCATGCTGGGAAAACTATCCAAAGGAATCCTGATTGGTACGTCCCAATTTATTATTTAAAAAAAAAAATCAGACTGGAGCTCACGTGCGTAAGATCTTTCTTGCCAAATAACTAGAATTTATAGAAAGTTTACAGTTCGGCCTTGTAATTAAATTATATTTTAGGAAAAATAGGGCCCATACACTCAAGACCCCTAATTAGCTGCTTGTCAGCTTAACTTGCAGTATGTATCAGTATTTAATTTAGGCCTTTCAGATATAATGAGGTAACTTTTTAATGCCTCCACCACCGAAGGCGGTGCGAGGGGCTTTATGTTTTCGGTTGGTCCTCCGTCCGTCTTTTTGTTAGCGCGGTAAATAAAGAACCATTGAGCAGATTTTGACCAAACTTCAATCAAGTGTGTATGAGCCTGCAAAGATGAATTGATTAGATTTTGGACAGAAAAGGTCAAAGGTCACAGGGTCAAGAAAGTGTTGAAGCATGCCAGAAAATACTTTATAACCACAATTACTTGAAAAGTATTGAAGCAATGAAACCAGACTTGGATGATATGAATGAACATGCAGGGATGAACTGATTAGATTTTGGGTGTAAGAGGTCAAAGATGAAAGATCATAGGGTCATAAAAATGTTGTATTACTGTGATAACTTAAAGGGGCCCGTTCCCGCCAGTGTAGTTATCGCTGCTCTAGTCATCGCCATCTTGGTTCCGAAGATCGACTTCTTATTTGCATACAGCTGTCAATCAAAGTACGCGCGTCCCGGCCTGCCTTCGCCAAGCCAGCTGATCGCTGCCGAACAGCAGCCGAATCTTAGAGCTGAACTGCGATTGGTATTACTTCGGCACATGTATGCGATAATCGCCATTGTGCGGGCATTCGGAACATGCCATCTGTGTAAGAGCCATATTCTGTTGGTGTCAATAGGCAGCTAGCACCGTCCGCCAGCGGGTACGTATTTTGAACGCCCTCTGGAATACGGGGAACATGTCCCTTTGAAGGGGGTGTAGCATGACGAGACTATGTGTCTTTCCTGTGGCCTGACTCGGGGCCAATTGGGTATAAAAACGATTATGGACGACGCGACCACAATATTCACGTGCATGCAACATGTACGCGAATCCGAAGCATGACGAGAACTTTGTCTGTTTCGCGAACGCTAGCGCGCGCTGACCGTTATTCAAGTCCATTCGCTTGTGTGCAGTTGTCCAAATAAAGTCTTAGATGGCATTGAACTAATGTTGACTAGACTGGGCTCAAGTATGTACAGATTAAATAAAAACTTTGGGTTCGTGAGGTCAGATGTCACAGGATCACTCGTCCATGAACATACATACAGGGGAAGTCGTATTCATCTTGTTTCTTATAGTGCCTTAAGTTCTCTATCTGATAACACAGAGCTCATTGAATACCTATAGGGCCTTTGTTGTGTGCAGTTGCAATTCATTTACACATGGATTTATTTTTTGAATGCCTCATTCACCCATTATTAGTTATATAGGATACTGATATGAATTTTTTTTTCTTTTCACAACATTTATGAGCGAAGAATATAACCTTATCGAAAATAATATCGCTAGTGATATTCGTTTGTCTCGCAAAATGTGGTCAATAAGGAATCTAAAAGATCACGTTTCGTGCGCTGCTACAACACTTCGTCAGGTGATAAAAACTAATGTAAACAAGCGTGTTTTATACTCTACGGGAGGACCGGCGCAGTGGTCAATAATTTGATCGATAATTGGAACAATAACGCACAAGGCCTATTGGTCGACGCACACGGTGCTTGACCAATCAATAGGCCGCTGGTTCGGCCGCTGGTTCGGCTAATGCACAAGACCTATTGGCTGACGCACACGGTGCTCAACCAATCAACGGGCCCACTGGCTGGGCCCGTCTGCTGAATGAAATCAACCGATGCTGGCCGGTTGGACGGGGAGTGATTCCTTATTGACCACATATTGCGAGACAAACGAATATCACTAGCGATATTATTTTCGATACTACATCCGCAATGAGTAATATATTTAGCAATATAACCTTTTGTGAAAGAAATATATCAGCTTATCTAGTAGTTCATTTGATGGAAACTTTTGCAGGGAGAGTGAATATTCTCTCTTCAGCTCCGCCCTGAAGGTTACCCAGAACAACGCTAAGCTGTGGAACAACGTAGGTCACGCTTTGGAAGCAGAAAGCCGCTGGGAAGATGCCTTCATCTATTTCAATAATGCCGCAATGTAAGTGTGCCATGGAGTAAAACCCTTTCCTCTAAGATATTGTGACAGATCAAGGTCTTCGTTCAAAAGAAACACAATTTCTTAAAAGCAAGACTTCTCTAGCAGTGTCCTAGGGCTAGCATCATGGCTCAGTGGTAGAGTACATTGAGCTGATGGCCATTCTAGAGCTTGAATCAGACAAAACATCAAATAAAAAGATCTTTTATGTGAGTTATCGTAAGATTTGGGTATTTAACTGTGTCGAGCTGAAAGCCCTACCAGAGCTTAAATCAGACAAAACTTCAGATTAAATAATAATTTATGTCAATTTAAAGTCACAATTCCATAATACAAACCAACAATACTTTTTAAAGCAAGGGAAATATATATACCTAGGATATGTCATTTGATAATCTTCCAAACTAACATAAAAACAATGCGAAAACTTCATAAAGTAGTCAGCTTTACCAGAACTCATTTTGTGTCAATACAGGGTCCAACCAGATGACATAGGGTCATGGATCAACGTCGGGAGAACGTACCGTCAACTCGGTAAGCCGGCCGAGGCGGAGGCAGCATACAGGAGAGCGATGAAATTGATGCCCCAGCCCAGGAAGGGAGAGCAGTACTTGGCCCAGATTGATCCAAACCATCTCAATGTGTACCTCAACCTGGCGAACCTGATCAAGAAGAATGAGAGCAGACTCAAAGAAGCAGAAGAGGTACAATGATTCTTTTAATTACCGTAATTAATGGTGTATAAACCGCCCTCGTGTATTAATCAAAGGTACTATGTCCCTTTTGCAGCCAACCTCAAATTCTGTAGAACTTTGCAGGAATTATGAATATGTCATGTATGTCCTATCTGTGAAATTTAAACGTTAGCAGTGTCCTTTCATGTATATTCAAATTATGCAAGGGAACCCATTTACTTGCTAGACTTTACTGTCAGACACTATTGTCAGTGTTGAGTGACTGACTGGCTTTTTCTTCTTCTTTGGTAATAACATACATAAAATGAGCTGTAAAGGATTTGTCTATACCAATAACCCACTTCTTGTAAAGGCCAAAATTAAACTGATTGAATCTTTGCGCAGCATAAAACGTACGACCATGCAGTACAATGGTCTGAAAATCGAGACTATTATTGGCTCTATAACTCCTAAGTCGATTTGACATCTAATTGTCGTTATTTTCCCACTTAAAGACATTTTCAAGCCCCATCTTTTTAAGGGGAGTTCTAAATCAGTATTATCTTTCAAATGCCATTGGAATTTTAACCTTTTCATTTTTTTGGCGTGCAAAAGGGACATAGTACCTTTAAAGGTTTTGAATTACTTTATGCACTGTCACTATGCCAGCACGTTGCACAGACTTCCCAGTTTAGCTGTATGATAGCTGCCATCGGGATTATCTCTACAAGTAGCAAGTAACAAGTAAGGGAGATGGTCTTCAGCTTCCATGTGCAGAAGGTCGCACACCCACTCTTTCGGCGTGAGCCATCATACACAGGGTGTCACTGTCAACTCACCACTCAGAAACTAGGACCAAACTAGCTGCCAATGTCCAGATTTCTGTTTAAACTTGGGGGAAAATTTGTCTGCCATTTTTAGTTTTAAAAACAACATTGTTACTATTATTTGTGAGAAGTTCACAAGCACAAATTGGCGCCTTCAACTGCAACTCACAGTTAAATCGTGTGTATTTTGTAGACGGACCTAGGGTGCTTCCTGGCGCCAAAAAAATTTTGATCAGAAATGTACCTTTTTTGTTGTTGCTACTCCCCCCCCCCCATCCCCCCCACTGAGCCGAATATCGGCGGCCCGATTTTCAAATATCCGGGGGCGAAAAAGAAAAATTAGTGCTCACTACCCCCCCCCCCCCCTCCCTCCACTGAGCGAAATATCAGCCGGCACGATTTTCAATTTTCCAGGGGCAACAAAAAAGAAACCAATTAGTGCGCAGAAATCCTGGATCCGCGCCTGGGTGCTTCCTACGACGCTTGCAACAACTAAAGAAAAAAATCTGAGCAGCGCCATCTCTTGGCGACTGTTGGCGTAAACATGATTTACCGTAGCAAGGAGTTACGAGTGCCGTGCAGTATGGCGTAAAATCACCACAATAAAAAGGCAATTTTAAAACAATTTTGTTTTCCCTGCCGTGTCTAAAAAATAAAGAGGTCTGTACAAAAAAAAGAAAAAAAATGGCCGCCGAGTACTTGAGTATCCGCCTATTAGCATGGGTGTGTACTCCTCAAGTACCTCATTACATGCTTATGCATAGCCTTATCCTTAATTATCCTATCTTCGATTGCAGCTTTACCTTAAGGCGATCAGGATGCGTCCTGACTTTGTGGAAGCGTACATCAATCAAGGAGAGATTCTACTGAAAAGAGGCCAGTTAGACGAAGCAGAGTCCCTCTACCAACAAGCGGCTCAATTAGAACCACTCAAAGCAGATATACACTACAATGTAAGTTGGCTTGATGGATGCTCTTGTGTTGTTGTTGTTGTTGTTTGGTATTATCGGCGTTTGATTCTTTTTAAAATTATATTTACGCCTTTCACTTTTTTTTTTTTTTTTTACTATTTGTAAATTCGTACTCTTCTAAAAAGTTTTTTTGATAATATAATCTCCAGGGGGTGTTTTATAAAGCTGTTCATAAAGTTACGCATGACTTTACAAATGACTTAAATATGAAAAGCCAAATGGGATGCTCAATCATTTTTAACTGTATTAACTGCAGTTGAACTGGACAGATGCAGATTAACGTTCTTATTATAACAAACATTTTTAATGCAAAGTATGTTTTTTGCCATAATTTAATTGAGGCTATTGGAAATATAGTCACATTTTGTTAAAAGATCAGGAAAAACTTTAGGCATCCTATCTGGCACTTCATGGTGATGATGATGATGATGATGGTGATGATGACGCTGATGATGGTGATGATGATGGTGATGATGATGATGATGATGATGCATGGTGGGGATAGTTTCAACGATGTTGATGACAACAGTGATGGTGATGATGATATGATGATGATGACTGATTAAAATTTTAAGGTTCATGATTATTATGATGATGAAGATGATGATTAGGATAGCAGTGGTGGTGATGATGACGGTGGTGGTGATGATGACAATGATAGTGATAATTACGATGGTGATGATGAGGTTTTATGATAATGGGGTTGATGATAGTGATGTTGATGTAATGATAATGTCGACAATGATGTTGAAATTGATTATAATGTTTATGATAGTGATACTGTTGACTTCTAACCCATTAGCACTTGACATTTCAAATAATTTTATTTTAAAGTTTAATTGCTTTTATAATTGCAGTTTTGCCTAGTGTGATGAAAAATATTCAGGAAAATGTCACTTCTTTTTCCGAAACTAACATTCAGTATTATTTAGGGAAACATAATTTTCTCATTTCACATCTCCCTGCAGCTTGGGATAGTAGCCATGAAAAAACGGCAGAAGCCGAAAGCACTCAAGCATTTTGATCGGGCTGTGGAGATAGATCCCAAGCACAAGATGGCGCTATACAACTCCGCCCTTTACATCCAGGAATCTGGCAATGCTGCTCGAAGGCAAGATGCTATCAAGAGGTATGTTATGTTGCAAAATTACAGTAAACGAAACTTTCAATTCCCTTTTTCTGTAGAGTAAGATTCTTTGGGACTGGACATTCTTTTTTTTTAAAGGTAATACAAAGTTTTGGTATGGGGTCATGAATTTGGTTCAGTCAGTAGAGCGTCCGCCTCACAACCGGGAAGTCGTGGGTTCGAACCCCGGCCGCCTCATACCAAAAGACTTTAAAAGATGGGAGTTGTTGCTACCTTGTTTGGCGTTCAACAATAAGGGATAGAGCAACGTCAATCTGGCGCTGCTCAGTGGCTGCCAGGCTCACGATCAATTGGGCAAAAAGAATTTCCGTTTCGGTTTAATAAAATTTGGAGTGGACTATTAGGCTATTATTATTATTATTATTATTAGAAGCAGACGCTCTACTGACTGAGCCAACACACCAGTACTAAAAAGGGGAGGCCTTACTTTCACAGTATTATCCTTCCCCCCTCCCCCCCCCCCCCCCTCCTTGGAAAGAGGGGAGGGATGCAGTCCCCCATCCTCTGGTAATTATGCCCATTCCAAAGACCACATTTGTAATTGCCACTCACAGCGCAAAAAGGCTTAAGTTGTATTTGACAATTGTTTGTAATCTTGCTGGCACGTAGGGGTTACTGCATTAATTTCTTCCTGATTTTAGACTGGAGAAGGTGATAGAGATAGATCCAGAGAGTGAGATGAGCTATTCTACGCTAGGAATGCTAGCTGTAGATGATAATGATAACCCGGGAGCTCTTCAATATTATCAGAAAGCATTGGAGGTAAGTAAGACTATCCTTTGCAACTTGTTTCTGTATATTTCATATTTTTCCAAGGGTTCAACGGTATTTGGTCTTAATGCTGTGTCCCTTATTTTACCAAGTCTCATGAAAATATACTGAACATAATTAACAGAAACACTATCAGTATTCTTGATATTTCCTCTAATCCAAGCTTTAGTAGGACTTTTAAATTAATAAAGTTATGAGAAATACTTAAAGTTTTGATGTATTCGATAACAAAATACTGTGGACTTGCCCATACATAAAGACAGACTCAAATTATTGTTTTTTTTTGTGTATGTAATGAGATTAGGAAACAAAAATTGTATGTTGAGAAGATTCAGTTTCAGCTATATAGAAAATATCACTTAAGAGCTAGAATGACAATAAATTGTTTCATTTCATCTGAACAAACAACATTTGTTGTAAAAATGTTAAAGGTAAAGACCAGTTTTGGAAATGCCCTCCTCTCAAAAAATGAAATGGAAGCTCTTATTACCAATCATGTGAAAGAATATGTTTTGACTAATACGTGATGATACAAATTTTGCCAAGAAACTGCCTACTAATTGATATATTTGGTTAATTATTTTATCTATCCGGACTGGATAGATATAGGGTAGTCCCACATCTCTCTGTGTACAGTGCTTGTAACTTTACCCAAACTGGCCCAAAGATCTTATTATTTTGATGATTCCAGAACCTTGCAGTACACACCAATACTTATATGCTAGATGATCAACCTTTTCTGAATGATTCCACAACATTTCTTTCACAGTGCAATCGCATGACCATAACTGGTCTTTATCTTTAACTTCTGTTAGAATGTATCTACATGTATAAGTAGTACTAGAATTCAAGATTATCTGTATAATTTAGAGAAATTGTGAATGATTATCTTTGCTTCATGAACCGTGCACCTGCAAACCTGTCCAGTCCCTTTCAGCAACTCATACACAAAACACTTTCAAACACTTTTTCAGTTTAAGTTTTTACCTTAAGATTTTTTTTTTTTTTTTTTTGAGGCCGCCATCCTTGTCAAGCTTTGCTTATTATTGCGGCCTCCTGCAAATTTCCAACAGAATAGTTTAAATAATACTTAAAATTTATGATAATATGTTATGGAAATATTAAGTTTCGTTAATATATGTACATATATTATGTAAAAAAAACATTTTGACATGAAGAAATTATTGTTTGTTTATGTTGTATTATACCTTACATTTATATGTTCTTTGTTATTCAGTTATATTTTATTTGGAAAAAATGCAGAAATAAAATAAAATAAAATCAAATCAAAAGCAACTCCCAGAAGCTTCTGGTATCCGGGGATGATGTTCTGCTGTGTGTCAGTGTAAGGTGGCATTTTCACATACATGTTAGTACTGTCACATGTTTATTTAACCGAGGGAAATTATAGCTGACCGAAATCAATCATGCTGCATCACAATCAATCTAATCTCTCCAACTAAACTCAAGTAACTCAGGACAGTAGATAAGACAATCTCACTCGAAGAAGGACGGAACAGAACTAACTTTAATATCCAAAATTATAACATGTCTCTAAATCAGGCATCATAACAAAATGTGATAAGAGAAACCAATGAGGTGAACAGGCTAGATAGATCAAAGGTGAGAGGCAAAGAGAATGAATGAGAGAAGAGAAAGTGTATGTTGCTAGGGCAGGAAAAGGCAACCATGCATAGAGAATGAGAAGACAACAAAGGGAACAGGTTGGAAGGTGAAGAAGGAAAATAGGGTGTGGCTGTAGTGCAACTGAAAGACTGTGCTGTAAGAAGGTGAATGAAATGGGAACATGAGCTGGCAAAATGAATATGCAAATGAAGAATGCAAATATGTAAATGAATATGTGATAGTGGATATTAAAGGAAGAAGGTAAGAAATTTACTAAGTGAAATATAAAGACAAATTCAAACTGTTACAGTACAATAGAATATGAGTGTGCACCTTGCAAGTAAAAAATACATGCCTCATGTTAGCATGTGGGACCCAAACGGAGACTGCATCACACTGTAGGTGGTTCAAGGTTTTAACTAAGAATTTACAGGTATTAATGGATGAAGCTCTTTTTCGTTTTCAATTTATGCTCCCAGATCAATCCTTCTTCTCGGCATGCCCTTTTCAACATAGCTATGATTCATTCGGATGACAAGCACCCTCTCCAGGCCAAACCATATCTAGAAAATCTCCTCCAGGTATGGTATATTACAACAAAAAGTGGTACTTCTACATATGAACATAGGGTTGCACAACAAAAGGGCAATTCCACAGAAAATGTTCAATAACCCAAAATCATTATTTTGATGGAATGAAGTAGTGTATCACTGAATCACAATAAAACAAATTTGCAATTGTTTAATTCATTTTAAGTAAAAAAAATAAGATATATATATTTACAAATAGATATATACCATACATCATAATTTAAAGCCCAACCGCACTACTTATAGCAGGGTCACTGACAGGTGCTTATCTCATCAAATCAACTCTCAATAAACATAAGAAAAAGGGGACCATGGGGGACCAACGGTCATCAATAAGGCTTTGTTTGCTATATAGAGGGCGCAAGTAGCTATAAGTAGTGCAATGGGGCTCTTACACAGGATGTGGTGCACATTTGAAATAAACGCCTGAGACCTACAAAGAATCTTTAAAAAGAAATTTATTTACCACATTAAAGTGTAGGATTGTATCCAGGTGCTGAGAGCAATTCGTTTTCCTTCTAAATATCTTATTTTTTGCTACTGCTGTTATTTTTAGTTTATTTAAATATGTTTTTATTTATTTATTTATTTAATTATCTATTTACTTAGTTAATTATTTATTTATTTACTTAATTATTTGTTTATACATTTGTTTGTTAGTTAATTAATTTATTCATTCATTCATTTATCATCAGTATTGTTATCATCTCCATCGTTATCATCATGTCCATTAATATTATTACTATTATTATTATTATTATTATTATTATTATTATTATTATTATTATTATTTATTATTAATATTATTACTATGGATCATGTCATTGATGATTGTCCGATCTACAAGTCCCCCACGGCGCTTCCGGACTTCGTGAGCTCGATGATGAGACAATCTGTTGGCTTAATAAGGATCTTCTTATCTAGATGATGTACTCCCTGATATTCTTTGCACGAACGAACGAACGATTATTATGATGTTGTTATCAGTAGTATTATCTTTTTTCCCTTTCAGCATCACCCTAACCATACCAAAAGTATGCTCCTGTTAGGTGATATCATGCTTAATTCCCTCCAAGACGTCATCAAATCTCAACAAGTGAGTATAAGTTTGATTTGATTTGATTTGATTTATTTATTTCTGTTTGATTTTCTTTTTCTTTTGCATTTTTACAAATATATAACAAACAAATATTGCAAATTTACACATGACAAAAGAATATAATGTAGAATAAAGTAAGGCTGGCTGTAACTAATCGTTAAAGTCAATCGTAGTCTTTGTGAAACACCCCCCCCCCCTGGATGTGGCTATTTGTTATGCCAAATTAGAGGACAATCTGATAGTTCATTCACATTCATTGGTGTTAAGTTCTTATCCTCCTTATATCACTTTGCACGTACAATGCCTCCAGGATCAGGGTGCTTCATAGAATACAGACTTTAATTCCCTTTTTCTCTAAATAATATTCTTTGGGACTGGACATCCTTCTCTGTAAATGGGGTTTTGAAAATCCATTTGTGATGAGTTAAATATCACTTAAAGCTGAGAACCTCCTCTATTAAAATCATACTTAAATTAAAAAAAAATAAAAAAATCTGGCGTCATTTTGGTGGTTTGGTGGTGTTGGGTCACAAATAATGTCAATAAACAAAAAAGAATGAAAGTATGTTTTCTCAAATAAAATACTTTTTCATCAGTTGTTTCAGCGGATAGTGGACCTAGAACCTTCCAACGTCCAGGCCCAGCATAACCTCTGCGTCATCATGGTCCAGAAAGGTCTATTCATGGAGGGTGAGCAATGTCTGTTGGACGTCCTGGAGAGGGCGCCACATGCAGAATTTGTGCGGACCAACCTGAGCATCCTGAGACAGAAGATCAAGGAAAGATCAACGGCGAAGCAAGAGAAGGAATCGAGCAGCGATACGGGCGTTAGGTGACGGATCACGTGAAACAGTTTCGTCAAAGATTCCAGTGTGCTTTATTTCCAGAGCCCCGTTTACATATGCTGCGATAAACTGCCGCAGCGGTCTTCCGCCGAGATGGAATAAAATGAGATAATCCTAATTAATCAGCCTCAAATTTTTGTACCTTTAATATACAGATAAGAGATTACCCACTGAACCTGAAGCTACAATTTTTATGCCTCCGCACAAAGTAGCTGGAGGCATTATGTTTTCAGGTTGTCCGTCCGTCCGTCTGTCTGTCTCGTCCATCTCGCTTAATCTCAAAAACCGATTGACAGATTACTATGAAACTCAAGACATTTATGTATCTAGCAGAGCCAAAGAACCGATCAGATTTTGGGGTCACGAGGTCTTAGGTCACAGGGCTCATTATGTATGCATAAATATCTCATGATCACATTATCATTAGGACCGATTGACGAATTACTATCAAACTCAAGACATGTATGTATCTTGCAGAGCCAATGAACTGATTAGATTTTAGGGTCATGAGGTCAAAGGGTCATACATGTCTATGAAAAATAGTGTGTAATCGCATTATCATTAGAACCGTCGGATGGATTACCATCACACTCAGGACATGTATGTATCTTGCAGCGCTAACAGACTGATCAGATTTTAGGGTCATGAGGTCAAAGGGTCATACATGTATATGAAAAATAGCTTGTAATCAAGATATTCTGAGAACCTATTAATGGATTTTTTAACAATTTTAAAAATTGCTTCGGTGTTGGTTTGGAAAAAAACGCTCTATGGTAGAGGCATCATTTTTCGACTGAGCGCAGTTGAAGATCTATCTAGTTTAAACTGAGATAAGCCCAATGCGCCTCACATTTATGTACCTTATAACATACAGATAAGAGAGTACGCTTTGAACATGTGATGTTGTTGCAGCCACAATGTTTTTTAAAGAGATAAAAGTGTAATGTGCTATACATTTCTGTACCTTATAGAGTACCGAAGCTGTGACGTCATAAAAATCTATTTTTAGAATTTCTCAATTTTTTCTTCATTTTCCGAAAGAGCATCAAAAATGATGTCTAAATGTTGAAAATCAATTGAATATGTAAGTATTGGCTGAGATATGACCATCTGAATGAATATATTTCCCATATGCTCTGGCTCCTAATGGTTAGGAGCCAGAGCATATAACACTGAGTTCCCGTAGGCAATCTTTTTATTCAGATGGTCATATCTCAGCCAATACTTAACATATTCAATTGATTTTCAACATTTAGACATCATTTTTGATGCTCTTTCGGAAAATGAAGAAAAAAATTGAGAAATTATAAAAATAGATTTTTGATGACGTCACCCTTCACCACTCTATAACATACAGATAAGAGAGTACACATTGAGCATGTGTTGTTGTTGCAGCCACAATTTTTTTAACACCGCTTGCCTTCACTTAAAGGCCCACTGCACTACTTGTAGCTACTTGCGCCCTCTATACAACAAACAATGCCTTATCAGTGACCATTGGTCCCCCATGATCCTCTTTTTCTTATGTTAACTGAGAGCTGAGTCGATGAGAAAACCACCTGTCCAGTGACCTTGTAGGGCGGTCTAATCCGTCCTGTAAACTATGGCAGATAAGCTTTAAACATGAAAAAGATACTGCCGCAGTTTATCCCATCATATGTGAACGGACTTTTGATAAATGTTACTGAAATAGAATGATGTGTTCAGAAGATGCTAATGAAGTACTACGTCAATGATGCATATAGTTTTTATAGATCAGAAGCCCGTTTTATTTTATAATCTTGTTTGAAATCCTGCTTACTGGTGCCAAATTGGAGTTTTTCATCATGTAAAAGTGATTTGTATTCGGCACTTGATATCAAAGTGGATGTGCTTTTTACATTGTTACATTATTGTATGATAAAATCGAGGCATTTTGTGCGATTGGTTTGCTCTTGTACATGTGTATTTTACTATGCATATTGGTTTGTATTTATGATGAATATCAAAGGTATTCAAACAGAGCTATATAGTGCTGCCTTAGGCACTGATTTTCTTTGTTGACATGTCAATATAATATAACACTGTGTCAACAAATCTCCTGTTTTTCTTTATTTTCTTTAGTGCTTTGACTATAGGTGAAAGAATCTTTGAAAAGATCTGCTGAAATTTTTAGTATTGTATGATAAAGAAATGATAGTCTTATATTTTACTGTTCAAATAGCAGTCTGCTGTTTTTAAACATTGATACAGATCTATCTATCTATCTATGTCTCATAGCTTGGAGGCCATTGGGGCGACAATGAACTGTGTACAGCTGTTCTTGTTAACTGCTCAAGTGACATACCTGTCCATTGCTTACTGTTATCAGTCCATGGGGGTGTCCCACAAAGACTAAGATCGACTTGAAGTTAGACTTACCTATGGCAGGCCATTCATGCCACTAGTTCCTCTAACCATTCCTGGCATTGGTCATTCAAGGGACGTTGCAAGGAGGGATTGATGGGAGAAGAAAAAGAGGGGCAGGCCAAATAGGAGATGGGGGTGTTTCGCCAAGACTAAGATCAACTTTAAGTTAGACTTAACTATGGCAGGCCATTCATGCCACTAGTTCCCTAACCATTCCTGGCATTGGTCATTCAAGGGACGTATAAATCGTGGTCACAAATCTACAAAATTCACATTTTTTAATAGTCCATTATTGAAGGAAAAAATATGATCTAAAGATCATATAATTGAGAGAACAATAGTGAGAGCAACCAACAGCATGAATGGCCTGCCATAGTTAAGTCCAACTTAAAGTTGATCTTAGTCTTGGCGAAACACCCCCATCTCCTATTTGGCCTGCCCCTCTTTTTCTTCTCCCATCAATCCCTCCTTGCAAGATGGTGTTTGCCAAGCTATATCACAATTGTGATGAGGGGATCCTGCTCCCCCATATAACTCCCCATTATCTCTCTCACTTTGTTTGTTTGATGTATGTGAAGTTTGGTGGATATGCTAGAAGCTCTCTTAGACAATTCATCTCAAAAGCATTGCTTCACGTTTCCATCTCTGCATTTAGTGTCCATGTTTCAAGGGATTGTTACGTTCTGTTGCAGAGGGCGCTACACAAAATAATTGTGTCAAATTTGAAAGAACATAATATTTAAATGACAAAATCATCTTTGTTTGATCAAAATCGGTTCAGAGACAGCTGAAATATAACGATTTCTAATACTTGTGTACCACCACAAATATTAGATATTTTAAAAAAAATTGAAAAAAACGTTGAAAAAACCTGAATTTACGCCTTTTACGTCGTATTTCAGCCAATGCTGATGTTGGCTATTTGTTGGCATTTTCGTGTTGCTTATATTACCCACAATAAGCCGGCTCATGTATTGTTATTTTTAATTAAATAATTAATTAACGGTCACCATGTTTTTTTGAAAGTGGAGCTTAATTGGTATGATAGTATTGCTAAATTTCACACATTTTGGGATCTAAAATTACCTTCATAGCAATTTTAGGTTCTGAAAGGGAACTATAAATGTCATAGATAAGAATAAGAGCAATAACCATGCACTTTGAAGGCATTTGCAGTCTGAAAACAGAACTCAACTATCCCTTTCATAACCATATAGAAAGACTTGTGTTACCAGTGCTCTGAACAAGCTAAATCTAGATGTCAGTGTGATGCTCCTGTCATTCCATGGGGGTGTTTCACAAAGACTAAGATCGACTTAAGTTGGATTTGAACCAGTGGCGTAGACAGGTTCGTACACCTGGGGGGATGACTGGGCTGCCAACGCTAGTGAGGGCGCGAAGCGAGGGAGCGAAGCGAGGGCGAGCGGGGGGAGGGTGTGGGAGGGGGGTGTCCCCCCTCCCACGGTAGGGAGCTTTTGCAATTTTGAACTTGAAATCGTGCAATCTGATGCATACTTAATGAGGTAAAAAAACACACACAAGCGTGCACACACACGAACACACAAATCTGGGTGATGCCTTTTTCCAGTTACAAAAGCCGACTGAAACAAATGCTGGTTCTTTGTTCTTGGCCAATTTCAAGAGTCCGCGTTTTTCTGCCTGTGCACAGTAGAAACACAGTACCCGTTTCAGGGAGGGTTCGTAATGGATCCAGGGGTAGCTTTGGTACCATTTGGCTTGAAACAGAATTTTCTGCGTTTTAGTTTCTACTACGGGAATGGAAGAAGTAGGGGGGTGATTGGGGCTAACCCAGTCGTCAAAACCGGCATCAGTTTCATCATCATCTTTCGCCTCAGATGCTCCATCACCCTCAACGGCCCTTTCTTCTGGTTGAACTTCAGGAAGAACAGGCCTATCTCCGACATCATCCGATTTTGATGTAGATGGCTGTTCGTCATCATGTTCTTCTTTCTGATTGTGCCTGAAAAAAGAAGTGATCTTTGATGTTTTCAACTTCTTATTATGAGCCATCTTTGAATCCTAAAATCAATTCACGCTGTGAATTATGTAAGTGACACAATCACATATATATTCCCCTTAAAAAGTTAAGGAAGACAAGGCCTCCTGCTGAGCGGACTCACCACGTGTTTTTGTTTTCTAGTTAACTGCCTTAGCGCGTTCCTTCTCTCTCCCGCAAATAATGCGCACATAACACGGCGTACGCTCGTAATCCGCATCCCTGAATAGCTTCTTTCACACGTTAAAAGCCAATCTTGTGGTTACCTTGTGTTTATCTTGTGGTTAGCCCCATTTGAACACGCAAAACTCGTGGTTATCTTTTGGTTTCCACACCACGAGATAGCGCGCACTGCAAAATATGCGCGATTAATCTTGTGGTTATCTTGTGGTTTCCAAACCACAAGATAACCACAAAATACTTGTAAGATTTTCTTTTTTTTACCGTCTGAATTGGCTTTCACCATGTGAATGCGGCTAATAACAATAAACACAATTACAATAATGATGAGGATTATTATTATCATCATCATAATTATTATTTTTATTAATATTATAATTGTTATCATTATTATTATTACTATTATTATCATCATTATGACTTATTAAGTAAGCAAATATCATTCCCAAAACCTGGGGGGGGGGGGGGATGATTGTACATGCCATCCCCCTCATCCCCCCGTTGTCTACGCCCCTGATTTGAACTATGGCAGGCCATTCATGCCACTCATTGGTCTGTCAAGGCACGTCACAAATCTATAGAATTCACATTTTTTCATAGTTTATTATTGAAGGAAAAAACATTATCTACAGATCATAATTTCTAAGGCTTATTTCATCTAATCTTACATCTGGTTCAAGACTTTTGAACTAAAAATCGCCTGCCATAGTTCGAGTCCAACTTAAGTTGATCTTAGTCTTTGTGAAACACCCCCCATATAGGTTTCATATCGTTTAATAGAGATAATCCCCCCTCCTCTACATTTCTCGCGATAAGTTTTTAACGCAAACAAATCTTGCGCTGAAATTTTATGACTTTTTTCTTTCGAGTCTTGCGCATCTTTTGAAACCAATTTTTTTTGGAAAATCGGACCTACCATTACAAAGTCACATGACCTTTATTTGCTCATTTTTGTGATTTGTGTACAAAACAAATAGATATCTCATTTTCCAAAGAAGAAAGAAAACATTGGTTATTTGGTCTTGTTTATAGTTTAGGTGTTTATTTGGGGGGTCAAAATAGTTGA